AAAAGAATAAGAAGCTCGACAAGTAAAGGATAGGTCTGTTAAAGGTAATTAAGAGAATAAGATAGCTTATATATAAGCTTAAGATCCTAGATTATTAGCGCGTTTACAACGTCTTCTTAATAGTATATCTAGAGCCTATTGTAAAAGGTGTTAACCTATATAAGAGAGAGCGGCCCTAATACCTTAAGCCTGTTATTATAGATAGTAAAGAGAAGTAAGAACTAAAGAGGATAATTAATAAGAAGTCTATAAAAGGACGCGTTAAATACTTAGTTTACTAAAAAGGATTTAGACTAGAGTAAGATGTATAGCTCTTAGTATTACGGCTAGGGAATAGTAAGGATCTAATAAAGGAGTTTAAGGAACGACACTCTTAATAGTAATTATAGACTTACTAAGTACAGCTAAAAGCGTGCCTATTATAACATTACCTTACCTTTAAATTTACTACCTTTGTTATATATTTGCTTATAGTTAGCTTATATTCTAAACAGCCTTTATTACTATATTCTAATCTATGTTAACTGCCTTTATTACTACTTTTATAACAATAGTAACAAAACCACTACTCTAATCTATAATAGTAACACAACTACTACTCTAATCTACTACTACCTTTATACTAACAACAGAACTACTACTCTAATCTATTATACATCTATCCTGCTTATCCCTCTAATCTATTACAGATCTACTCTCTCTCTAATCTATAGATCTATCTCGCTTATCTCTTTAATCTATTACAGATCTACCCTACTTATCCCTCTAATCTATTACACTTCTATCCCGCTTATCCCTCTAAGTATAAACATTACTCTAATCTACCTTAACGGCTATATTCTAATCTAGTGTAGAACAGGATGTCTAACGTAAAGGAGTATAATAAGGACTATAATAGTACTAATAACGCGCTATTCTAGTTCTAAGTAATACTATAAGACGAATTCAGATCCTACTAACGAGTAGTACAAGAGGATGTACTACTAGCCTATAAACGAGTAGTACAAGATATAGAGGATGTACTACTAGCTAAGAAACGTAAGGACGACGCCCTTACTAATGTCCCTAACGTTATAGTGAACTACTAGACTACTAGAGTAGATATAGGCTTTTGCCTAATTATAAGACAAAAGGTAAGGGATAAAGTACGCGAACTATAAGGCGCTAAGTATATCCGGCCTTAGAAACATAGAATAGACTATAATAGAGACCTAGACCGCCTACGCGCCTAGGCCCTTTACGACCTAGTTAAACTACTAATACTATACCTCTACTAGTATTACGATAGTAAAGATACTAATAGATTTCCGGCTAACGTAATACTTATAAGTAGAGCGATAGTAGTAGTACTAAATACAGGTATATTAGTATAAGAGAGGTTAAAGCTCTAGCCTAGGAATTTCGCTTTTAATAGTCGAGTATATACTAAGATAAAGTAGTACAGTTAACCTATATTAACGCTAACTAGAAAAGTCATTACACTAATAGCTAATAACTCTAAAATCCCTCTAATAAGTAATATACTAGAAAGAAGAGTAAAGAAGGTAGTACTATTCTTCTAGACAAAGCTAATTAAGGTAGCGGAACTATTACTTAATTACTATAATAAGAAGGACTACTATATAACGCTACCTCTAGGAGTAGACAAAGAAGTAGCTAACGTAGTTACTATAGTATCTATACCGGCCTAACAACGATTATACTTAGCGATAATATCTACCTCTAGACTACGTAAGATACGTGTAGTAAAAGTAGAGCAGACTAAGACTACTCTTATACTATTAACGTTAAAGTACGCGCTTGCCCTAGCTTTTATAGAAGTCCTTAGAGTCGTAGCTATACGTACTAAACAAGAGTTAGACAGGGCTATTACTAAGGGTAATAAGGCTATAACGACTATTAACGAATTATACGTAAAGCTTAAAGACCTTAAGATAGATGTAAAGGCAAAAGATATTAAGGCTTAGATTTAAAAGATACACTAGGACCTAGAGGATTATAAAGGCCGCGCGACTAGTAATAACGTTATTCGTAAACTAAAGAGATACAAAGTGTAGTCTTACTTTAAGCTACCTAATCTGTTTCTTTATTTTAAACAAGACTAGATAAAAAAGGATTTTATAAAACCTAGCTAATTCGTTAATACTACTTTGTTTTCTAGAATTAGAATATATAACCTATATAGTAAAGTTAACGTAATCTACAAGTATATACGAGCTCGTAGATTAGTAGTAGTATAAGAGCGAAACCGTTACTATAAGGATAGTAAAGTTATTAAAGAAAGTATATAAGAGTATAAGGCTATAAAGGATAAGGATAAGTACTCGGCTTATAAGATAGACGGATTTAAATTGTAGTAGTCTAAATAGTCTATAAAGACTTTAAACTACGTAACTAGGACTACTTTAGCCGAGCTATATTTTTACTTTTACTTACGTATTACTTATTTTAACTACCCTTTTAATTATATTTGCTTTATCTATACTCTTTTACTTGCTTTTATACGGTTTTATTTACTTTTCGTATAGTAGGGACACTACCTTTTTCTTTAGTTAGTAGGAGTTGTTATAGTAGAGTAGTGTATAGCGTACAAGACATAGTATATAGCGTACAAGAAGGAAGAAAGGAAGGAGCGTAGCGCGCACAGCCTATAAATAGCCTATATCTTAGAAAACAAGACAATTATAGAATTTAATACATACAAAACGCGCTATAAGTAGCGATTCCACGTAATAACCGTAACACTTAGGCTTACCCTTACCGTTACTACTACTACTCCTTCTACTAAGTATAGCCTCTATAGTTAAGAAGGCGCTATAATTACCGGATTAGGTAACTCTAATGTCCCTTTAGCTTCTAAGGTTAAGTTTAAACTTATCTAACACTTCTTTAAACGTTATTGTCTCTTTTCTAAGTAGCTTATAGCGTACTATCTTAACAAAGTATAGATTAACTTCTTCTAAGCCGTTAATAAAGGCCTTAATTAGTCTATTACTAGACACTTCTAGTATCTTGTTAACTAAACAAGCTAGGTAAGTAGACTTAAAGCGTTCTACCTAGGCTATAACCGACTGTCCTCTTCTTAGTAAGATACTAGCGTTAGTTAGATCTTATAAGAAGAGATCTTATTTAACTTTATTAGAGGGTATAACCTTTTACTAAAGATCTACTAGGATCTTATACACTATGTCCTTAGCGTTAACGTATTTAACGTAGTCTCTTCTTACTAATCTAGTAATTAGAGAGTATATGTCTTTAACTAATTAAGCTAGGCACTTATACTCTCTTTAGTGTTTAGAGTAATACCCTTAGTAGATACGATATTATTCTTTCTTATTGTCTATTAGTATAGCGTAAGTAACTCTTAAGCTATCTTTAGGGACTCTTTTAATATCTAAAGGATCTAGAAGGCTTAGCTCTACTAGAATAGAGAGTTCTGCTTTTATAGTGTCTAGGTTAATATATATCTAAACTCTAGTACTAAGCGCTTTAAATTTAATGACTTTTATCTAGTAATCCTAGTTACTAGATCTATTAAGAACTAGTATATTTCTAGGCATGTTTCTAGTTGTTTTGTGTTAACTAAAAGTAGTAATAAAAGAAGGTAAATAAAGGAAGTAACTCTAGTTGTTTAAGAGTAGTCGACGTACTTCTACTAAGTAATAGAGTCTACTAAAATCGTTAAAATTAAGTGTGATTCTACTGTTATTAGTAGTATTAAACAGCTGTTAGTAGTGCTTAGAACTAAGTGTTTAAGGAAAGTAAAAAGGGGTTAATATTAATCCCTTTTAACGCTGTTTAGCTCTTATAATTTAAGCTCTCTAATTAGTCGAAAAGGTGTTTTTATATCAAAATAATAGTTACTAAATAGCTATTAAAGTAACCCGGGCTTATAACTGTTAGATAAAAGAGGTTATATATTACTATAAAGAAGTAGTAATAACAGGCAAATTTAAGTTAGTTAGAAGTAGATTAAATTAAACTAAATTAAATAGAGTAGAGGGTAGTCCCTTACTCTATATACTTAAAAAAGGGGTTACTATTTATATGTATAGGCGCCGTATCCGCTATAAATAAGGTATGTAAGTACCTAAGTGCCTGAATCCTAACAACACTATAAACTATTAAAAACAGGGTACAAGGGATCGATCCCTGTATATTGATCAAGGATCAGTTAGTAATCAGGGGAACGTGTTCCGTGACCCGGTAATTGATCCTGCTGTTTGACAGTTTTATATCAGGAGGTAGACACGGCCATTTCACTGTCAGTTGTAAAGGAATTGACGTATTAGGCTTGTTGGCCCCAATCTCTTCATGTAACAGTGGCCAGTGACCAGTTTAATATCCCGGTCTAAACGCGCTTTGTTGAGGTCGTCTACCTTAAGTGGGTTTGTCGTCTTGAGGAAGGGGGGTTGTATTGATTTATGCACCCCAATATATTATATTCGCGCCTCGGCAGAAAGGTTACGCCGTACATCCGACATCAAGCCCAGACTGTCAAACTTGACGCTCTACAAGCATCTAGCCCTTCTGTTCTGTTTCATCTATTCTTGTGTCAAACATCGGTATCACGACATCATCCGACCGCTTCCCGAGTCCTCCTGCGCATCTGGACCATATCACGGTGTTCTCTGACGATATCAGACGGATCTCTTACACGCGACGTTTTGACCTCGAGGAATCCGACCCAATACTTGGAGCTGCGCTAGATATCATCCGGCAATATGGGCAGGAGACAGAAGCGCGAATCCGTAATCTTGGAATTGTGAATCGAATGAGGCTTTTGGATGGCATCCTGCGTTCTGCTTTGCCGCTGCGGCGCTTTTTGTTGCTAGGGTTAAGAAAGATTATATTTGATAGGGAGAACCCGATTCATATGTGTTTTGGCACAGTTCTCTTCACTTCATTCTTTACATTTTCGCTCCTTTACATTCCTTTAGATCTCTTTGTCTGCTGCGCAGCTTTCCATTCCTTTGCCTGGTGCATTTCAACCCTTCACTATGATTGCTCAGCTGTCTGCTCTTCTACTCGGTGCTAGCATTGCAATTGCTTCTCCCATCGTTGACCGAGGTCCTTCCGATTCGGGAGACGCAACTCAATCCATTGGGGTCTCCGGTTCTACCGGTGCTCCATCAATCGAGAGCGCGGCTGCCAGTACACCCTCGGCCTCTAACCTCGTCACCTCTTCCAAGCCAGGAGCATGCGGGTCTCCAACGATCGTAACCATTACAGTGACGAACGTTCCGTCGACTTCGGCAGCAAGCGCTACATCAACGATTGATATATCAGAGGCCGATGCAAACCCCACAGCTTCCGTACCGGTGTCCAGAGCCGGCGGCGTCCTTCAACCATCCGCCGCAGCCGAAGCGAACCCGCGCGACGACACGGCGACCCGAGCCTTCTCTTCCGTCACGATCAAGGACGCCAGTGGTCAATGTCTCTTTATTGATCCGACGGCGGGCGATTTTCGGCAGAACTTGATCCCGGTCCAGGTACAAGACTGTGATGGGAGCGCGGGAGAGAAATTTGATCTCATCACTGCCGGGGTTCACGTGCGTTTTTCTAAGTCCTGTCCGACCTTACCTAAGGTATCTCCTGACTAACCCTTGGTTGTTGTTAGAATAATGCTCCGAATTCGACGCTCGTTGTTTCTAGTCTTACTCAAGGGTGCTTGAACTTTGATCCGAGAAGAGCTGCGGGTGATACTGTGATCTTGTTCTCTTGTGGGGGGAGGGCTGACGGTGGGGGAGGCGTGACGAATTCTCAACTGTTCCCCTACTCGGGGAACGAGACAACGCTATCACTCGCGCCCGAGAATGCGAATGGAGTGACGTGTCTTGTTCCCCTGAATGGGAAACTGGATGAGGCGAATTGCAATAATGATGCGAGTCAGTTGTATACCATTTCCTAGTGTTCTAGATATGGTCTTGGGGAAGCCTATTTCTTGACCAAGGCGCGAGATACCCCTTTCCTTTATATACTCTGTATCGATAAGATGGGGATCTCCGTTGCTTTAGTTCTTTCTGGCACCAGCTACAGCTATTATACAGACGCGGGAGACGTTGGTCATATATATATAAAGGGTTGGTTAAATACGCAGATGTGCCACCCAGATTTCAGATCTTGGTATTCTTCTCTAGCTCTACACGGTATCATGTCCCCTCTCTTTCATCTGTTCCCCTGGAGGAATTACTGACATAGTTCTTCAAGAGATAATATCCATATCTCGATAGACTTCTGAGTCTTCCACACGACAAGGTCAAGCAAACAGTGACTCGAGTGAGCATCGTTGATTTATCCTTCTGTCTTTATACCACCTTTTTCTTTGACTCAATTGCATTCAGGTCCTTGTTGTTTTGCTACTGAGTGACAGTTATTTATCTGTGGAAACATTATCCGGTGTTAAGTAGCAAAGCTTCTAGATATCGCAAGAGGAGAACTGAAGGACAACTTGATTTCAGATGGATCAAGACATCCGAAAATGACATCACTTTAGTCCTTCTCAGTACCCCCTGAACACAGACTGAGAGACCTGGAGCCCCAGTTCTGTTCCTTTGTTGTTTCTCTCCGCAAGATAAGTTATGCGCAGTCATTCTGTATCATCGCATACTGAAGCACGGTCCGCCAGTCAAAACAGGGCGAAGAGCACAGTTGCATCAGGGCTCAATGTTTCCACGATTGCTGAGTTTTGTATTAAAATGCCGAAGCTCGTGAGTCAACGGCCACTGATCAGAAGCAAGATACTTCTTATCTAGTGCAGAAAAGAATTGGCAATAAACACATTTTTGCACTATTATGACAAGAGCCTAATAAAACAACCGCTGTACATGATTTTTTCGTAGTTTTCAGTTCGTGCTCTCTTCATCCCATTATCCTATCTCATGCATCAACATCCAATCACGAGCTAGACCCCTTGACTTTGGGTCGAGACAGGTTAGGGTGATGCGAATTACAACATCACGGCAGCAAAGGCGGCCATGGCGGCAGCGCCCATGTTGATTCCGTTAGCAGCATTCGCTCCGTTGGTGACTTGAACTGGAGTGGAGGAAGCAACACCGGTTCCGCTGGCGGCACTAGTGGTCCTATTGCAAAAATAATTAGCCAAAATTTGTGATCAGCACAATGCGAAAGGCCATCGTACTTTGCAGTGGTTGAGGCAAATGATGAACCAGCCTTGGTTGAGGAGGCAGTCAATGAACCAGCCTTGCTTGACGATGTAGCGAACGATCCGCCGTTAGAAGGGGAGGAAGCAGCAGTCGATGAAGGTGCTGGGGTGGACGAAGTGACCGGGGCAGAGGAGGAAGTGGTTGCGGCCGAGGAGGTAGCCGGGGCAGATGAAGAGGCCGAAGAGCTAGAAGATGCAGCAGTGCTTGAAGCGGCGGCAGAGCTGGACAGAGACAGTCAGCCGAGACCTCTTACTTTCTGAACTTCTGAAGTCTAAGTCCTTACCTGGGGACCGAGATGGTGATGGTAACACCGGCCTGGGAACAGAAGGACTCGAGATCTGATGGCAGGGCGGCAATGTCGGCAGCAGAGCAAGATTTCTCGGCACAAGGGGTGACTTGAGGACTGGGGAGAGCAGAGACGGGTCAGTATTAGGCACTGGTCTCACACATCGCCGCGACTTACGTGAGGACTCCGGCGGCCTTGCAGACGCAGGGGAAATCAGTGGTCTGGCATCCGGTAGCTGGGATAGCTGCGATGAGACAGCTCAACTGCATTCTCAGTCAGTGTGGTTCGTTGGTAAGTCGTAGGTCGAACTTCTGAGGGAGACATACGGCACAGGACGGGATAGTCGACAGATCCTGCGCATAGGCGGAGGTTGCGGCAACGGCGAGGGCGAGGAGAGAGTAACGCATCTTGCAGGATTGAGGATTGAGGATTGAGGACTGCGGGAGGTGAGTCTGGATTGGTGTAGTCGGCTTGGGGCTCTGCTAAACGAGTGTGGGCGTTCGAGATGGGAGTGGAGCGGAGTGGGATGGAGAGGGCGAGTTCTGGTACCTTTTTGAATGACGATTGTTGTTAAGGAGGCGTGGCAAGCAGGAGGGAGAAGTGCGGGGGGGAAGGGTTCTTTATATACGGCGTGTCCCTGCGTATGCACGTCGGGGAAGATTAGCCAGCTAAAGCCACGGGCCAATAGCCTTTTAGATGGCTGTAGCTTGTTGGGTTTTGTCTAGGCCTCATTTGTTGGAGATGGCCGGATACGAAGCTGAGAAAGGTGACAAGGTCAGAGTGGTGGTCCAGGAAGGATTCCCGATTGGGAAAAGCGGGGGAAGGGGCAGATGCGGGGGAATCGGGGATTGTGCGGGGATTCCGGGGTTGCCGTCTTATGCCCTTATACGGCAGATATGCAGCATCATCATAATGATCATAATGATCTTATAACAATATACACATGTTCATGCTAGTATAATGTCCGAGCATGTCCAGCCCGTTGTGTATCCGTATGCACAAATCCCCCCGTCGGGCCCAACGCCAAGATGTGCTTCGTATCCCCGCGCTACTCCGCATACCTCGGCCCCTTTTCCGAAGGGTCTATTGGATCACATGCTCCAACGGCCTGGAAGGTTCTGGCTGCTCATCTCCCTCGCCCGTTGCACCGATGTGTCAAGGAAATTCACGCTGACCAGACCCCTGTTTAGAAGAGCCGCGGCTCGATAGAACCATCCTTTTTACATGTGTTATCCCACCCTTTTCAAGAGCCGAGATCAGGGCTAGCGGCAGCCCGATATAACTTATAAGCAAGGTACAACCCGGAGAACCTATCGATGTGTTTGGCTGACTGCCAGAGGAGATTAGCCTCTAACTCGATCCAACCTGCACATGCCATGTGATCCAGCTTCTAATGATCCTCTTCCCCCCGGCGCATCATCCCCGACTCTATTGATAGTTAAGTTCATCGGTAACTAACTTCGATGAGTTTCCATGTGCTGTGAGATAAAATTCGGGATTCGAATGCCGATATATAGTATACTGTATTCCTCTCTAGTTATCGCGGGTACACAGAACTTGAGTGAAACGCGTTGGTGCAATCCCACGACCTTCTCTCAGTTGGTCAACGTAGTTACGCAAGGGGGCCAGTACCCAACTGTGAGTTGGAGTTTTCCTTCATCTACCTATACCTCGCCTTACTAATATCACTATGACAGGCATATTTTTCTACCCCATAAATAAAATAATATAACTTTCGTTATCCTCCGCTTCATTCTTTTTAACCTTCAACCTACACAAGGCTCTTTATCGATGCAAACTAGAATAGTTCAGGACTACGGCATACCCAAGGCCTGCCATTTTCGAAGGCGCACAAAGGCCGATATATGATTGGATACTTCATTTACGGCAATCTCTTAAGAGTTCGAGGTCTGGGGTTTGCTGGATGAGCTGTGACTAATACGACCAGGACTCCTATTCGACTTCCTGATTTAAGACCTTTTCATCCCGGGAACTTTAATGATAGCATGATTATTATTTGGGATATGCGGCGCCAATCATCGAAACGCTGTCTCCTAGTAGGAAATTAGGAATATAGCATTCTTATTTGGCTAGCCCGCGTTATGCCTGCTTTACAACCTTGCTTCCCTGGCTTTCTTGCTTCTTTGGTTTTACAAGTACTGTCGCATCACAGCCAGACTAATCCATCATGGATTCATGGTTCTCTGGTATCTTGAAATTGTGATAGTAATGCGCTGGCTGGTGTTCTCTGAGGTTGCTGAGGTCTCTTACTTTGGACATGCTTCTCAGCAATCACTCTCTCTTTATACTTTCAAACCCCGGGCTTCGAGTATATTCTCCTGCTAGAAGTTTTCAGCTGGATTTTTATCTTGTCAGTATAACTCTCATTACTCCTCGTTGATAGCCCGATATGTTTGTATGCCTCCTTCCCTGAGCAAATTTTCAATAAAAAGTGTAATATAATAGATCAACGAATATGAAGAAAAGGGGAGAAGCCATCTACGAAGATAAATATCAGCATTGTACAGTACGCCTGTTTGGTACTAAACCGTTTCCTGTGCCATATTAACATATCCTGGGTCCAAGGTAATCCATTACCCTCATCATGACGTATATAGGCAAGATGCGTAGGGAGATATCGTTAATACCTAGATCACAGGAGCGGGGAAGTGAGGTGGGGTAAGGTAGGTAGGGGGGGGTGGGTTCATCATGTGATTAATGATCAATGGTAGGACCTTGAGCCAGGACAAGAAGCGGAGCGAGGAGAACAGTAATAGCGACTAAACGCATGATTTCGAGTAGTATTGTTCGTTGCTTGGATTTGAATTGGGGGAGTTAAATAGATGAATTAAAGAAGTTCAAGAGTAGTATATACACCTCAATGTCCTCTCTGTCACCATCATAAACCTGCTTATACCATCCAAACCTCTATACCCTTTAATAAATACTCTCGTATACATAGGTAGACACAATAACCATGCGCAACAAAACCACTGAGACCAATAAAACAACCTGAGAGCTTAATCCAGACGAACTCAAACATTTATCAAAGAGAGACGTGCACTTACCCAAAGAAACTGCCTATCTCGATATGACACGACACCGCTATAAGAACAGAGCTCTAGTTTTATTTGAGATTCAATTGTTTTGTCGATGAGTACCTAAGGTATCTACAGTCATGTATATCTAGAAGATGATGACTGTGTATAGACTCTTATACAGTATGCACATAGCACGCAATTGTACCTAGCTATGGACGTCAGATTTAAGCTTATTCCAACTACATCCAGCCTGTCTAATTGGATGATGCCGGAGTAGATGTATGAGAGGAGACTTTGGGTCGGCATTTGATCTCTTCTCTTACTGGGTTATAGACAACAAAGAGCGTATATTGTAGGTTCAAGCAACTAATCACTGTCATCGTGTTGCTCTGCACTGTATACCTTGGTCATCAGATGCATGACGGCACTTGGGATCATATAGTTGTCGACACTACGACTGACAATCTGTAATTCAAGTAGAAGTCAGCTTAAGACTCCCTAGCTAGCTCTCAATCTCCCTAATCTCCTTGATCATAAAGGAGGAATTCCACCAGGGGGCTGCTCATATCCATTCATTACCCCAGGTGCTATCGACCGAATCCTCATCAGAAACTGTGCATTTTCAGAATCCAATACCAACGTACAAATACAAACAAATGGTGCAATCGCTCACACATTCTCTTTTCTTCCCTGAAAATCCTACAAATCACCGACCCAGGCTGCTTTTATGCCGCATCCCAACCCAAGAAAAAAAAGAACTCCACCGCAAAGCCATATCAAGGGCTAGCCAAACTCCAGCGCCATCCCGCCCAAACCCAACTAAAAGCTCCTAATTGCGTAGTAGGCTCCCGGCCCTGCCGAAGCCCAACCATTTCCTACCTCCGGTCTTGGTCTCCTCCGCATTACCGGGCGCGACATCTACACTTCCCTTCCGAGGACGAGTCTTTCCCTCATTTGTTTCAACGCTGGTACCATCAACCCCAAATGCACTATGCCTCCTCGTAGCATGGTTCGGCATACCTGTGCCAGCAGAGCTCGGCCTACACGAAGAGACCGTGTTATTTCGACTGCGCCTAATTGGAGGTGGTGTCGCACTAGCTTGTTCGTCTCTGTCAACCCAGGTCTGTGTCCTGCCACTTACTTTCGGCTTCTGTTGCTGGGAGGTTGCTGGTGCGGGACTGGTTTCCGCGCGACCAAAGAGACGATTCGCAAAACGGTTCTTCTTCGGCTCCTGCTTTGGAGGTTCTTGTTTTGGAGCCGCGGGTGAATTTCCAGGTGAGGCACCTGATGTGTGGGTGAGGCTATACCTGCGGATTTGGGTTGTAGCACTCAGTGATGAGCGGCGGTTGGGGGGTGCGGGTCTGGGCGACGCATCGAGTGGATTGGTCACGTTTTGGTTGTTGCCATTGCGCTGCACGGCACGTCTAACTGGATCATCGCTCCTTGGATGATCAGCCATGCTCGAGTGACGGAGCCTTTCATAACGAGCAGCGACATGAGAAGGTAGAACCGGTTCATGGTTGAACATCATATCGCGACCCCAAGGATCATCACGGTCATCGCTGGCGAATGTAAAGAGATCTGGTGTCATGACTCGCCTCGGACGATGGAAATCTTGTGTTGCAAAGGTACTAGCAGTGCTAGATATATCGTCCCCATGTGTCTCCGTATCCCATCCATGACCTTCACGTCTGCTTGTCACTGTCTCACCTGCACTTCGAGGTCGTGGAGAGACGGTGGAGTGGAAGGTGCTTCTGGTCGTGTCAGGAGCAGGGAAGGTTGAAGTACTATTTCGGAATGTCCCATCATCAACACGCTTCTGACACAGGGTATCATTCGAGTTCTGGCAGTGCCTCAGCGTGTTAGTGCTAATTGTATCTGGTGTTGGAGGGAGTGTCTGATGATGGTCGAAACTGGCTGTGTCCTTCAAGGATCGCCTGAGACTCTGTCTCGATTCCGATTTCTCCCTGTTCTGTTCCGGCAGTGTTTCAGAGTTAAGGTGGCTACTACTCTCCATAGACATCTTCAACTTTTCCAATCGCTGCAGCGGTGACACCAGGACGTTGTTAATTGAGAGGAACTGGCTCTTGAGGAGATCGTTTCGTCGCGAGGTAGCTGATGGAGGTTGGGTCGTTGCGGGCCTCTGATCAATCCACCTCTCCACCGACTCCGACTTGCGATGTCCCCTCTCTTTCGCATGCTCCTCAACTTCGGTGTCCAATGACAGTTGTTTGTCGTCCAGCGACTGGTACTTGTCCCCATAAACACTCAAGAAAGAACTCTCACTCAATACGCTTAACCGAGGACTGTCCAGCTCAGTAGGCGGAGCCTCCTCGGCCTCCTCGGATAGCTTGGGCAGGGCAGCATCGCTGTAGCTAGAAAGGTACAGGCTCCTCAAAGCTTCCGCGCCCTCGCTCTTCTCTGACAAGAACGACGGCATCCTCGCCATAGCGCTACTGATCTGCGATCGAGAAGGCGCGGGCGAGCTAAGTTGTTCTTCCTGACTCGCGCGCGAGTAAGACGACTCGTATTGTGTATCAAAGGCCTGCACGACCCCTCTCTCGTGCATCAACCTCTCCACCTTCTCCTCGAGGTTGACAATGATGCTGACGGCCTCCTCCACGGCTTGATCTCTCTTTTCCAACTCTGCCAGCAATTGATCATTGATCTCCTGTAACTCTGCTTGTTCTTCGAGACGTCTCTCCGCTGCCTCCAGTCGCGCTTCGAGGGCCAGTTGACGTTCCCGACGATGGTGTAGTTCGAGTTTGAGGTTGAAGTTTTGTTTGGTCAGCGTAGACACATGCTTGTAAAATATTAGTATTCATCGCAGAGCACAGCCAGATTGAGCAACTGACCTCTTCGATCTGCTTCACCCCCATGCTCAGTCCCTTGCCCGCACCACTTGAGTTTGGCCGCCTCTCCTCCCTGCCCTTCAATGGTGAACTCTGGGTTGACCGCACCGGCGTGCCAACGCTCTCCCTCCTCGCCTTGGCGCTCTCGACCTTCCTCTCCCTCAACCTCTCTTGTAGCAGACTGGGGCCGGAAGTACCTCTGACTGATGGGTTCCGCGGCAGATTCACTGACGAGCTGTTACTGCTCGAACTAGGGGTCATTCTGGTGCGGCTCGATGCACTTGATTCGGGGCGGGGAGGCAAATGGCGGACTCTCCGGGTGGAGGGTAGGTGGCTGTCGTCCATGTTGTTTCTTTCTCTGTGGAGGATGTGGGATTGGCGTAGTGTATGGTATTGTATTGTATGAGCAGGGAGATGCAGGACGAGGGTGGATGACTTGATGGATGTGCGAATGAGCGAAGGTGAGGAAGATGGTGAAGCTGGTGAAGCTTGATGCTGCTATGGGAAGCGGTGAGAGGGGAGGGCGGCGAGAAGGCGAGAAGGCGAAGAGAAAAGGAGTGAAGGGGAGAGAAGCGCGGTCATCTGGATGTGGATATGGATGGGGATGGGATATGAAGGAGTTGAATTAAGGTGACGGATTTGTGCTGTGCTGTGCTGTGCTGCGATGTGCTGTGCTTTCTCACATTGTGCAAGGCGGGCACGCAGGGGATTGAGCGGCGGCAGGCGCGACTCTTTGTTTTGTTTTTGGTTGCGGGAGAGCAGGACGAGACGGGAAGGGGCAATGGATAGAGAGCAGAGGAGTGCCAGGAGAGGAAAGAGAGGAAAGAGAGGAGGGACAACACAAATACAGAGAGACGATGGAGGAGAGAGCGGGAGAGAGGGGAGAGTTGACAGAGAAAAGGGGAGAACATTCACACATCACAGATCGATCTGCCCACCCCGGTCAACCACTGCACAACGCCCGTCCAATCAGCCGCATCATCCCGCAGTAGCCGTGTGCCCACCAGTGACAACAACCGTCTTCGAAAACATCAAAAACAAAATCGCTGAAAAGGGGTTTGTTGTCTGTGTCACAATTGTGGTGATACGCCCGCTCATTGGCTGGGACCCATGCCCTACCCCAGATCAGGCATGGCGGTCGTTCGCTTGCGGCCCTGGCCGGCTTTAGCGGCTCTTGTATTGCGCTTGCCCAGATTGGCGCTTCTTGCTTTGGCTAATCGCCCCACCGGCTAACCACATATGGCTACTCCCTCAGCATGCCTGTTGATACCGGAGCCGCGTTCCTGGAGTAATGCCTTAGGGGGAGCCTGTGCACCCACATAGCGCTCCACGTGATACCGCCGTTGCCAGAGTGAGAGTGATTGATGTTCTGTTGCTCCAGCTATCACGAGAAGAAGTACGTCTTGTGTAGGATGTACAGGAATCTTGTAGACCCATGCTCCGCCGATATATACAGATATAGGGTCCCATGACAATATACGGAGTAGATATCGACCTGCTTTGTACAATTTACTTTATACAGATATTCTCCAACGGACTGCGGACTGCATCTACAACCTGGCAACCCTTCCTGGATATGTCGAGAGCCCAAATCTCTACAAATAAGTCCTTTCCAATTTCCTGGGCAGATTGAGGTGGCCCCGCTCCTCCCAGATCACAGAGACATGGCTCTATACCATGGCCGGGGTTTCGTGTCTACCTCCTCCCCCCCCCCCCCCGCCCCCCCGGAGGAACATCCTATCTCGTGAATCTTTCAAGATATAATAGCTAACCATCTCTATGGAATAACCCTGCTCCCTCCCGTCCGGTCAAGAACAAAGAGGAATATACATCCTTTGAACATTATCAATAAGCACTCTTGTTACCCCATAAATCTTTCCAGAATTCCTTGAACCCATACAGCGGTTTCTTATCATCATACACAACGGCCTTCTTAGCAGCAAATGCTTCAAACATGCCGCCAGATCTGTCGCCAGATCTGTCGCCAGTCTTCCCCACCAGGTCTTTGGCCGGTCGAGCTGCTCGTTCTTTGATGGCCTCTGAAAGCTCTGGCGCAACATCTGCATAGCAGGATTGCAATTCCCGCTCGAGGGAGAAGTAAGGCTTCTTAGCCAGATCGGGTGCCATGAGATTGTAGGTTCGAGTAAGGTTGTTGAGATTATTAACTGCAAGCTGGAGATATGACATTTCCGCCGCCTCCCACTCCGGCAGCCGAAATGGTGCGGGTAGAGGAGTTGCTGTAGAAGTTGGCTCTTCTTGCGAGGTTTCCCTACTTGCTGTGGATGGCGACTCTTCTTGCGGAGTGTCCCTAATCGTCTCTGTGATCGTAATCTCCCCGTCGTCTGTCGTCACCGAAACCTGACCTTCTGGAGAATCGCTGGGCGGTGACACCTCCTGAATGATCTTGACCATCACCGGATCATCCGTAGCATTCGTAGGCACGGAAACCTGCTCCACCGGTCTCTTCTTCGGATTGTGAACCCGCTCGGACTCAGCATATCGTTCAGCCATTCGCATTTGGTCTTGCAGACTCCCACCCCGACTCGCAATCGTTCTTGCGGCATGCCGTTTCCAATCATTCCGCAACCTGGCCCGGAAAACATTCGCTGCTTTCACAAGCTCCTGCTGCTTCTCAATCCACGGTGGCACGATGTCTTGACGTTGGATCATCTTATTCATAATATACTCCGTGGTATTGATGAAAGGATTATCGGCCCTAGGATCCCTTTCGATAGCTTTGCCTCGAGGGATGTTCTGCGATGCATTAGTAATGCCCTTAAACCTCCTACTATTAACATACCTTGAACTGTCCTCTTGCAATGGCATCCTCGATCCTCTCATTCGCCAAAGAAGCCAATCCTCTGAATGAAGTTGGCATCGGCCTCGCCCCTGGTGTAAACCTTTCCTTCAACTCCTTCCTCAGCTCTTCCCTCTCCTTGTCCGTCATCGGCGCATCCTTCGAGGTGGCGTATAGAGAAGTCTTGTCCCTCGCATTCGCCAGTCTCTCTCCCGGTCGAACTTTCGGCCGTGGCTGCAGACGCAAATCTACAATAGGGCTCGGAATCTTCGCAGGACCTCGCATTCCGGGTTTCAAAGGTTTCCGTGCATCATCAAGCATTCGCAGAACCGCATCTTCCGTACTCTCCTCCCCATCCCAAGCTTGTCCAGTAGCGATTTCTCGTGAACCTCGGCCCACATTCGAAGTCATACCAGCCTCTGCGAATGCTGTTGCGTACTCCGATCGAAATTTCGCCGCTTCTACCTTCTCCAAAAGCTTATTTTTCAGCTCTTCCGAGAATCCGGCTTCTTCCACAGCTTTTCTGCCAGCTCTCCCTCCTTCGAGAAGTGCATCTTCTGTCGCCTCCGCGAGTCGTCTTGACATCGCTCCTCGTTCGGGTTCATTATCATGGCTTGATTCTGGAGAGGATTTCGGAGATTGCTCTAGTACTTTTGCTTCAACTGTTGACTGATCCTCCTTCTCTTCTACCTTCGCCGCGAGCGAGTAGAGAGGCGAAACGGAGAATCTCCGTATCCTTGTCTTTGGAACGATTGAAGATGCATTACGTCGCTGGGGAGCTCGCAGGTGGCGAGCACATGTGTATGGAACCTGAGATTTGATTCCGGGCATATAGAAGGAAAACGCTGATGGTTGCGGGGTTCCAAAAGATGCGTTGTGGACGGAAGATGTTGGAGATAATCGCCGGTTCGCTTATCGCTGCGGGCTGAAGGCTGAAGCCAATAAGCGAGCCGACGATTACTGTACATTGCCGATCCGCTCTGCACCGTGCAGTACAATTCCAACCGAAGCTGCTTGGTTGTTACGCGCGAGAACTCGTCCTCAGATCATTTCTATAAAGCGACCTCTTAGTCGAAACTGATGAGCCAGTGCAGCTGACCACTATGACCGGCGTAAATCATGGACCGGAGATCAAAGCAAGGCGGCCACATCATAAGAGCAGATCGGGCTGTTTTAACTGCAAACGGAGGAAAGTAAAGGTATGTACGAGGTCGTGGCGATGTGTAAACACATAATCGATTCTACGACATGCAAGCACAGTGGTAGATTTTCCCTTCCGTGCTCGCGGCATCTTTCATTCCTCACTTTCACTGATCGATCCCAAGTGCGATGAGAGTAAACCAGTGTGCAAGAAGTGTGAGATTCATGGCCAGGCATGCTCATATCTTCAAACCCACCCTCTCAAGAGAGGGCCGCCAACCGTGGCCTCCATGCTAGCAACACCAAGTCCAACGACAGCATCAGATCCATCGTATTCGATGTCCCCCGTTGCTCTTCCAGCAAATTTCACAATGCTAGATCTCGAGCTCCTCCATTTCTGGACGACCCAGAGCATAGCCTCATTCGTCGACTTCCCTTCCTGCATCAATCTCTTTCAGACCACGGTCGTGGAATTAGGCTTCTCTCATCCCTTTCTGATGCATGAAATCCTCTCCCTTGCAGCTCTCCACCTCTCGAATTTGAGACCCGATAAAGCGTCAATATATCGGCACGCATCAGACACCCATTTCGCCACCGGCCTCTCCTTATTTCAACCAGCAATCAGAAATCTCTCTGACGAAAACTGCCACGCGTGCTATGCCTTCTCAACGATGGTGTTCACGCACGCGTGGGCATCACAAGATCCCGATAAGCCATCAGCGATCTTCTTCGTCCCGTCTTCTTCCACCCCTCAAGATCTTGATGTCGTGCACGTGCAATGGGTGAAGCTGCATCGAGGCTCCCACGAGATCCTGCAGAAACGCTCTGCTTTGCTTAGAGAGGGACCGTTGGAACCTCTCTTCACGCCCTGGAAAGGACTTGATCGCAACGGCCCGCATCCCTTACCTGCAGTCGAAGAAGAACAGCTCTCTGCGCTGTCTGCGCTTGCCGCGGCGTCGTCTCTGTCGGCCGAACAGAAACTCACGCTCAATGAGATGTTGCAGAAAGTGAGGAGGGTCTTTTCCATCTTGGCTTACAATCCGAAAATTAGTCAGCTTAGCGCAGTGATGAGTTGGTTTAGCATGCTCTCTGAGGACTATTTGAAGATGCTGGAAGAGAAGATCCCAGAGGCTTTGTTGATTGTGGTGTTCTACTGCGTGGCGCTGAAGAGAGCCGAACATATGTGGTGGGTGAAGGGAAAGGGCGAGAACCTGTTAAGGACGGTCATGGGTGAGTTGGGTTCGGGATGGGAGACGTGGACTGATTGGCCCGTGGAGCAGGTTCTGGGAGTCGGGGGTGAGAGGCGTTTTTTTGGGATCGAAAAGTAACTTGCATTGGGAAACATTGGCTCGAGATAGAAATGCACTCGAGCAGCAGACAACATGGGCGTAGGCGTTAATTAGCGGGAAAATATTTGTGGGAAATTAACTCAGATGCTTTAATTTGTATAATATAGGGACGGCATAATTGATGTCTGAATCCATCAATTACCTTAGTCAAGTATACGGTCTACGTAATCACAATATTGATAGCAACAAAATTCCAAGGTATAAGGCACCATCCAATGCTTTAAAGTCTTCACTGAAAATCGAAGATAAAATCTAATAAACTAAGGTACTTGAATACAAGAGTGTTTGTCAATTAAGGTAAGGTACCTCCTACTTCTACGGCTTCTATTCAATTCAAATACCCTGGGCACCTGGGAAGTGCCGGGGTTTGCGATATGCAACAAAGCATTTTAACTTGAGACATATTTCACTTCCAATAATCACTCCCGTACTTGGATTTTTCAGTTTGGCTAGGACAAACTAGGTAACCGTAGCCAAAACTGCGATATGCAACAGAATTTTGGAGTAAGCCTAAGACGGATTTAGATAGGTAGTTCTAACACATCAATTTACCCAAGGTACCTATAGGTACCGGCCTTGGAAGTAAAAGTTATAATCATGTCGGTAAGTCTTCTTGGTCAGTAGCCGAAAATAGGTAGCTGACCCCCCTGAATTTCCAGAGATTTCTACTCCGTACTTGCGGAAGTTGGCAGCAGGTACGAAACAGACGTCACTAAGGACACTTCATTTCATTGAAGAGCTGCTGGCCTCAGACTACTGCCGGCATCAGATCTGAGACAAATAGCAAGCTTCTGAATAGAACGATCGTAGCTTTTCCTGTTTGCAACACATATCACTAGAAAGCAAGGGGAAACCAGCCAGATTCCGTGAAACCCCATATCAGACAATGTTGAAGCATTGGGTATCGTACAGCCCTGACCGCTATGATTCTCATTCCCACCGCAACCAAATAACGCCCTCAAGAAATGACTATCGACTTGATATCACCCAGCAGCCTCCTTAACCTTCCCGTCCGTGACTGGCGGCTCATCAATAAACTGTGGCACCTCATCAACCATAAAGCTCGGGGTACTCTCGGTACCCAAATTCTCATACTCGAGCTCTTCGCCCAGGGCCTCCAACTCGGCATCCAATTCTGCCTCATCCACATCCTCAGGAATATCATAGCTGCGACTTATACTCTCCTGTATATCGTTCCCAATATCCATCAGGTCGGCCATTTCATCCTGCATGCGCTCAATCTTATCTATGTTAATCTTCCCATACTGTTGTTTCAGCGCCTTATTCGTTGACTTCATGGCATCCACGGTCGTCATGACGTTCTTCAGGTTATCTTGCATCATGCCCGCTTGTTCCATATTCCAGGACTGTTGCTGTAGCTGATCTCGCTGGGCTTCGTACATTTTGCGGCGTTGCAGGACCTTTAGGGCCTTTTGCTTGATGGCGGTTTTGCCAGGGCCATCGCGCATCTTGGAGAGCTTGGTCTGGTAGGAGGTAAGTTCGGCATTGATGCTGGCGAGTTTGACGTCGATTGATTCTATGCGTGCATCGACCTGGGGGTTCGTTAGCTGTGGCTCGGGAAAAGAGGGTGGTGGAGGGTGGGGTGGAACGAACATTGGAGATGGCGGAGTTGAGGGTTGGTTTTGGTGCTGAGCTCTTGGCCCCGAATAGACGGTTCATTTTCGGATAGAGTAGACGTGGATTGTAGAAGGTCGACTGGTTATATTCTTGGGAAAAGCAGGGTCGAGACTTGGCCGTGTGGTAGCTGTCGCAAGGAGGGGTATGTCTGGTTGGTGAAGCAACGCAACTGTTTCTCCTCTGCTGCCCTTTGTATCCTTCTCTAGGTCGCAGATGGATGGTATAGATTTGACAAGACGCTGACAGTGACTGTCGTACTGCGGTGCTTGACAAGAACCTTATGCTACCTATACAGAGGTAAGGTGGGTAAGATAGTCCGCCTCAACTAGTGGTAAGACATTCGTCATTGGCCCCGGAAAGTCCCAGCCTTGGTGCCTCAGGAACAACCCCCGTCTCGGCTAGGCATCACGTGGCAAAGAGAAACACATCTCAGCAATGAATGGCTCTTCCGCCGGATTATTGATTGAGACGTTGACCGGATCCATGCACGACGTGGCAGCAGATCCGTCGTACTTGGTCCTCTTCTGATGCCGCGATATAATCCTTTCTGTTCTGTTCTTTTGCTTCTCCCTTGAGAGAGACACCATCCCTTTCCACACCCCGTCGCTGACGCTGAAGCTGACGAAAGAGGACGTCTAATCATCTAACGCGGGCTCTTCCTCCGGCCATTCCTACACCAAGCGCAACCCTCGAACCCACACAAACCACCCTCTCCGTCCTGTCGCCCGCACACCGTCGAGCTTCGTGCACCGTTGTACTTCTATTTCTCTTCTTCTTGTTTCTTTGATACCCCGGCCTTTCCACCTTTCGGTCCCTCCCAGTTCTCACTTCTAATCAATCCTCCTTCGCCCGCCTCAGAGCCGAAGTGGCGCGATCAACAACCCAGTCAGTCATCCTAATTCCTGGCCCAAATCGAGCTCCTCTGTACAATACCCATTGCTCCCCTCACGTCTTTTCTCTGTATGGCCCCCCCTCCCCCGCACTGCGGTCTTGACATGGAGAAGAAGACTCAGTACAGGGCTGAGCGCGGGTCTGATCACACACGCCAATCTACCACAATGAGCTTCAGCCGCTGACCCACTTCCTAAATAAAACACACCGCTAACAAACATCTCATCAGCCTACGTGCGATCAAAGCCCTTCCTTACGATTCACGATACCAATATAGAGACAACTACGAAATACAAGGCGTCTGTTTTCAGGGAAGGCTTAATTCTTCGCCTCTGTTATCGATATCCTATCTACTCGCATGAGCAACTTCCAGACCCAACCTGTCCGAATTCACGATTTCCCTCTACATCTACCACCCTCCTCTAGGTGGCAGACGAGCGCTGTCACATAAGTCAAGATGTTTTGGCGGTTTGGCGGATACGCCAACATCTCCACGATTGATACCCTTCTCGACAAGGTCGACGTCACCCTCGAAGAACTGTTAGACGAGAGTGATTTGATACAGGAACTGAAGCAGCACAATACCAAACTCATCGAATACCTGCGAGAAGACAAGATCTTGGAGAGGTTGCTGGAGTACGTTGTAGCCCCGAAGATTGAAACTACTGTTACGTCAGAGGAGGCCGAGGAGAAGCCGGAATCCGAGGAATCAAAGGGCAAAGCGCGATCCTTCTCAAGATCTCGAGACTCACCAGAGGACGACGAAGACGAGAAGGAGAAGAAACGCAGCCGATATGCATACATTGCGGCCGAGATCCTCTCATCGGACAATTGGTCAATATGCGAGGCTTTGATGGAGAACGTGCCGCTGTTGCGCAAATTTTGGGACTTCTTAAAGCTTCCTCCACCATTGGATCCATTACAGGCAAGCTATTTTACGAAAGTTAACGAGTCTCTTCTGGACAAGAAGACGGAGGAGATGTTGGATCTTTTTAAGTCACTTGATGGGGCAGTGAAGAATATGCTGCAGCATGTCGACTCTCCCATGGTAATGGACTTGCTTCTGAAGATCATCAGTCTGGAGAAAGTAGAAGGTGGCCAGGGAATAGTTGATGTATGATTGAATGCCTCGCGATGATACTTATTGCTAACATGTTCCAGTGGCTTCACTCGCAGGACTTGATGCCAATTCTCCTCTCCTTCCTCTCATCAGAGCATTCTTGGGCGACACAAACCTCCGCAGGGGACTTCTTAAAAGCCATCATTACTATTTCAGCCAACGCATCACAAAACGAGCAATCATGCATAGGACCAAATGAGCTCACCAGGCAACTCGTGTCACAACCCTGTGTTGAGAAGCTTATTGCCGATATGTTGAAGGGTGGAAATCCTTTGACCGTTGGAGTTGGAATTGTGATTGAAGTTATCCGGAAAAATAACTCTGATTATGACCCAGATGTTGGGGCTGAAGTGAATTCGCCTCCATCAAGTAGGGATCCCATCTACCTCGGAACGCTTTTGCGAATGTTCGCTCAGCGAGTCCCGGATTTCATGGATCTCATCCTCAGTCCGAACCACACCATTGGTGGAGGAGATGATGGTCCCACGACGATAAGGAGAAAGGAATTGTCATCTGCATTCGGGGGTAGGATTGAACCTCTTGGATTCGATAGATTCAAGACGTGCGAGCTGATGGCCGAGCTTCTCCATTGCAGTAATATGGGACTCCTAAACGAAATCGGCAGCGAGGAATTTGTCAAGGCTCGAGACCTGGAACGCGAGAGGTTGAGGACTGAAGGCAAGCTTGGCGTCTCTTACAACCATCTAGGTGCTTCGGAGGAAGACCTTACCATGAAATTACCAACACAAGCTCGACTAGGGTCATTCGATGGGCCGCGAAAGCTTGAGGTTCAAAATGCTTCAGACGACGATGGGTTCGAGGAAGTTACCCATTCTGCTGATCTGGGCGATGAAGATAAGGATGATTTTGACGAAAAGCCAGGCGAGGAGAATATGCTCACCTCTGACAAGCGAACACCACTTTCTTTTCTCGACAAGGACGACGACGAATTTGTTGATGAACCCTTGAGCTCGCCCAGACTTAAAAATGTCGAGCTGGATCAGCCGCCTCAAGCGCTTGAGCCTGAGTTAATGGTACAACCACTCTCACCTACCAAGGAGCTCTCTCAAAAGGTAGACTCGCTTGGATTGAAAGAAGAGGATACACACATGGCTTCTCCCCCACCATCTGTCGACGGCCAAACGGCCAATAGCGAGTCCTTCGCAGGTGACTCTAGCAAAATCTCGCCAGAGTCAAAGGAATCGGCTGATAGCCCTTCTCAAAACGAACAAGCCAAGGCCGCAGAGCACGAGGCTGCAACTTCTGAGCGAATTCCATCGGAGGACTTGGCATTGCTTCCACACCCAGAAGACAAACCAGCGCCATTGTTTGCCAAGAAGAGCCCATCAACAGAAACTACAGAACCGCAACCAGCGGAATCAAATATAAACGCAGGGAATCTAGACACCACAATGGGAGAGGCGGGTGATATCTCCAATTCAGTCGTGATGGGAAACGAAGAGGATCATCAGCAATCTTCGAGCGAGGAACCAATCACCCCAGTGGTGGGAGACTTTCTTAAGATGCAATTTGTGGAGCATAAGGTGGTGCCAACTATTCTAGTAAGTGATAGCCCTCTTCATCGCCAACTTCTCTGACCATCTTCAGGACTTTTTCTTCCGATTTCCTTGGAATAACTTCCTACATAATGTCGTCTATGACGTTGTACAACAAGTATTCAATGGCCCTATGGACCGTGGCTTTAATCGTATGCTGGCTATCGATCTGTTCGAGACCGGTAATATCACAATGCGGATTGTTGATGGGCAAAAGAAGAGCGATGAAGCACAAGAGAAGAATAAGATGCGTCTTGGTTACATGGGGCACCTGACACTCATTGCAGAAGAAGTGGTCAAATTTACTGAACGGCACCCCCCAGAGCTTCTCTCTGAATCGGTACTAGAGAAAGTCATGAATGGCGAGTGGATAACATATGTGGAGGTCACCCTTGCTGAAACCCGCGAACGAGACAACGCAATTCTTGGAGGAGTAAGACCAGACATGGCTGTCGGCCCACGACAAGCTGTCATGAATGCTGTCAACGCAGCCAGTGGTTTTGGCGGGGCTTCTTCGGCCCTGGCAGACGCGGGTCTCAACGGATCAGCAGTCCTCGATAGCATCGACATGGCAAATGGCAACGGTAACACGGGAAGCTTCACTCTATCTAGCGGGGCACTGTTAAGTGGCTTTGGAAGCTCGAGTGACGAAGAAGATGACGAGATGGATGAAGATAATGATGAGGAGGGAAATCGGAATTCTGGCGCGGCTGAAGTGGGTCATTCTGTTCCTCCAGCTCCCAATCTTGACAAGTTCGACGACGAAGAAGTCGATTTCGAGTACTTGGAGCAACTTGATCGCGAGACCCCCTTATTTCCCGAGGGCGGAGTCCACAATCAGTGATCATGCTACCATTATTCTTTTCCTGTATATTATTTCATGGATTGACCGGCTGGCATCACGCCATTTGCTTCGGGTCATCATGTCAATATCGGGAGATGGGTTCAAGTTTAAGATTTGAAGACGTCCTTCCTTTTTGTGACTTGATTGCTGGAGATGAGCGGTGTCTTTCCTACTTGTGCTTTTCTGTTATAATACCTTCCAGGACCTCTCACAATGTGTGATCTCGGACAATGATTTACATAAACATCGACTAACACTGACGATCTAGTTCTCGCGGTACATCTCCACACCGTCTACCACAACCGCCACTTCATCTACGGATCTCGAGCCACCCTCCGCGCCACCGCCGCCTCCCCCGCTCAATATTCCGCCCTCGCGCGCACGTCGCCAACTCGCTGCACGCCTTGCATTACATAGCAAGCAGAACTCCGAAAACAACACGTCAAATGCAGAGCAGGAAGATAGGTCGGACCACAGGAAAGATCTGAATCCCTTTACGATTGACGAGGATGATGATTCCGATGCGGAGGGAGATTTCACGGTTGGGGAATTCGAGGCCGATGAGGAAAGGAGGGGAAAGTTGGCCGTAGGGGCAAGTTTATTTGGAGATGAACAAACTCCGTTGGAAGGTGAAGCGGGAAGAAATGTGGGTAGCTCTTTCGGCAGTTCTATTGTCGGATTTTCTCCATCTTCAACGTCCGTTTTAGGAAGAGGGAGGGCTGCATTCCCGTCGTTGTGGCCATTTGGGGGCTCCTCCCCTCGACGTAACAACAATGGGGAGGAGTGGGATGCAGGGTTTGAAAGCAGGAGCGGCGATTGGGACCATTTCAGAGGTGCAAGTGCTAATGATGAGCAGAGCTCGGACGAGGATTCAGATGAGGAGTTTGGGTCGGATGGACGGCAGGCAAAGGAGAGTAAGAGGTTGAACAGCACAACAGAAGCGAAGAGAAGAACAAGTTTAGAGGACGATGATGAGGAGGAGGTTGTCCATGTAGGGATTGCGGAAGGGCATGAAAGGGGCGTTGGGGAGAAAACGGGGGAGGGGGATGATGAGGAGTTAGTGGAGATCCGGCATACCGAGATGCAAGGGGTCGAAGGGGTGCAGAAGTAGGTGGGGGGCCTTAGTGTATGATATCATGGGGCTGGTGTTGAGAAGGGTTTCCTGTACAGTAGTAACATACGTTTTAAGAAGATTTGTGCAACAGATCTCGGTTTGTGATGTCTGCCTTTGGTTCGTCCGATTGCTACTTGAAGTCACAACTAGCAAGAGATAAACGTCCTATGTTCCACGCACTCCTCTTCTCGTTGGTGCCCGTCCTTGGCTCTACTCTTATCTAGGTATCTTCGACATACTAATCATTTTCCACTCTACCAGCAAGTAATTGACCATCGTACAAGAGTGTTCCTCTTTCCTAGGCTCCCCAGAACCAAGCAGACTCATAAATCAAGATATATATATATACTACTATACATGAGGTGCTCATGATGTCCCTTTTTCCAGCCATGAATGCAAGTTTGCTGTTACCTTTAACGCCCCTTTTCCCTCCTTTTAAAGTCCATCATGGCGTTATTCACTCATTATAGTATCGGTCTGTGTATAATTGCCAAGATCAAGTCCAGTCGTGCTTCACCCTCCAAGCATCATCCGGTTTCAAGCCCATAGCCACGATATCACAATCGCGATGTCCCCATTTCTCTCTAAAGACTGCGCGACCATGCTCGATAGTCATCTGGATAGCTTGCTCGAAGCCCGCGCTATCCCTATAGAACGGGTCTCCCTTCCCGCCCATCTGTCTCCCTTGCCATGTATTCCTGCCTCTGCGATTCTCGCCCTTCGATCCTTACATACGGTCCAGTACGTTCGTTAGATGAGCGAAGTTGGCGGAACCAACATGGTCTTCTTCCCATCCCACGTCCAGATCCCGAACCTTGCGCTCCCCTAGTCCTGCTTTCGCCATCTCCATCTCACTCTTGGCAATAGACTCCAGGACTTCTTCTAGCCTATTTGGATCATGGAAGCTCGCTTCCGGGACCTTGAGGTCGTTTGGCCCTTTCGTCTTTCTGTATAGGACGAGGAGATCATCGAGGGAGCTCGCTACGTCGTATATGAGACCCGCGGGCTTCTCCTCTATGCTGAAACCCGCCATTTCTAACCGCGCATGCATATCGCAGTCTGTCATGTAGAAGGGGATCTGGGTATCCCAGGCACCGACCTCGAGGAAGGATGCGACGTTCACGAGGGCCAGGCGGTCATAGGAGAAGAAGCGCGTTGCCCAGCGTAGTGGCCCTCCCGTCTCTGGGTCCTTTGCTTGGAGCACCTCGTGCAGGGCATCTAGACAATAGTCGTAGACTGACTTGTAGTCGGTGTAGTTGGTGCGCGGATCGGTGAGGTCCAGGTCTGGGTTTTCCTCTCGATACTTGGATTCGTAGGAGAGGACGACGAGGTCCATGTGGGACCAGAAATAGAAGGGGTATTTCTCGACGGTCGCGGTCCAGAGGTAGAAGTTTTGGAGCTGGGCGAAGGTGAAGAGCGTGGGTGTTATGAGGACGTTTACTCCCAGCATGTGCAGCCGCGTATGGTTGAGGAAGAAGGGGTTCTGGAGGGAGAGCTGGCCTAGCTTGTTGGCTTCCATCACGCCTGTGTTTTCCACCACGTATATATCCTCAGGAGGCCAGCCAGCCGTGATGTATGATACGACTACTTGCTGCAGGAGGCGCCAGTTCCTTGTAAATCCGATAAAGAGCGGAGTTCTCTCTGCGACGTGCGGCGCTGGCGGTCTGTTCCATCTGGGTATAGGAGGAAGCTCAGCAGCAGAGTGGGCATTCAAGGCCAGGGGGAAGTTGTCAACGATCGGAAGGGCTTTCCCTGGTGTCTCCGACTTGTAGATTGGACCTAGGCGCTTGGGTGGTTTGTGGATTAGGGTTATGGTTAGAAAAGAGGTGAAGAGTAATAGTGAGAAAGTAGCGAAGAAGATATATCGTTTGCGTAGGCTCAGCATCTTGCTTGAAATCAGAAGAGGAAATGCGAGAGGCCGGCTCACCTTCGTAAGACCGACCATGTGTGAGATAAGAAGATCTAAACAAGGCTGAATGTAGAATGAAGAAGCCAAAGTAAGAAGAAGAGTATGCAGAAAGGCAGGCTTGAGAACAGTCAAAAGCCTGCGAGGCTGCCTGGCACGCCACTGTTATGGGTTTTTGACAAGGAATTGGCATTGCCCTGTTATATCTGAGCTACACAGCCTTGTGTAGGGGTTCTACGGAACATATAACTCTGGGGATCCTTGGCAATGCTTGACTCTGGCAGTCAACAAAGGAGGATGATTGGGCTTGCATGGTGATCTACAAACAGAGCTGACCCATATTGCGCGGGGATCTCCCCACGTGCTAGGAGGAACGAAAAGGTAAGGCTATGTGGATACAAAATCGGCAGAAGAAACAACTAGAAAGGAAGAAAACGACCCGAAGGATCGATCATCGAAGGGGCAAGGAAGATTCAACTTGAATCTCCCGCGGAATGCCGCCCGCGTACTTCAACGACATGTAGATGAATATCATGATTTAGGATCTCATGGTTCACGAAGATGCGGTATAAACACGGGATACTCCGTACAGGCAAAGCACTTCTTTGCCCGAGCCGTCTGTACCGTGCCGCAAACGGCTCCAAGAATCTCTGCGATGGAGTTGGTTTTGAGTAATTGGATGCGGGGATGTTATTATTAGAGAACTTGCCCGGCAACTTGGCAGCGGGCACCGTCCCGTGGTGGGGACCGTAGGTCCCTAGGGCTACGTACAATGCTTGTTTCTTTTTCTTTTCATAGGTGACTATGAGCGTATGAAAAGAACCAAGCCTTGTAGAAAGCTCTCCGCAAACTTTACGGTGTATAGGTTCTGCTGAGTCTGCTCAACCAAAAGGGGAAACATTGAAAACATCTCGTGGTGTCCAGGGGCAGGAAAATAATTAGACCTGATCGGGAAATCTAGGTGTAGTGATAATAAACCCTGGTCTGTACGTAAAGTACTATGTACGAACGTAAGACGGCGTAATCACTGGCGAAACCCGTGAGCCGATTTGTTTCCTCTGTTTCCTAAGCCATCTTGCTCATTATGGTCCGACAGCTATCGCAATAAATAATTCAGTGTTGAATATATTAAAGGGGCTTTATGTATACTATGATAATACAACTCTCGCATGTTGCCCAAACACCGTACAATGCAGCCTACACCGAGACAGGTGCCCGAGTAACACCGTGCTATGAAATAATGCCTCCTATGTATCCGCCAGTTCCTTCCACGTAAAATGCAAGAATCATTAGTCATATGCGGAGACTATTCCTCGTTCTTCTATACCTTCTCGTCATTTTCCTCATTCGATCGGAGCAAAAAATCTGCTGGCTTCAATTAACTGCTCGTCTCCATTCGCAAAGTCCCACCCGACGATCACCGAAGTCTGGCTGCAGCAGATGATTCTCCGGGCATCAAATTGTAGCTTGAATACTCTGGCCATGTTGGCCGGTACATGATGATATGGCTGTGGCGCATGGTGCGGCGGGGCGGGCGCAGCTGGGGCAGCGGGGACCTGGGTCCCCACGTGGGCATTTGGGCCAGATAACAGGGTCGGATTTTGGACTATTGGTCCCTGCGTACTGCTGGCCGGGGCAACAGTTGCTTGGGTATGGGCCTGAGCTGATGTTGACATTGAGGCCTGGGCTTGTGTCGATGCTTGAGTGTTGGACTGGGTTCCCTGAGCAGGAGCGCCAAGCGTATTGTGGGTTGAACCAGCTCCTGTGCTGCCTGCCGATGGCAACAGCTGCTGGCCATGAATAGCCGTAGACACCACATAGTTCATGGCCTGCCGAGTTGATTCTGGCATGTTCGCGAACGCTTCTCCAAGGTACTCGTGCGAAAGAATTTGAGGGTGGACTTGCAAAGCATGCCGTAATGCAACCGGTCCTTGACTAACAGCAAGGTCAATCAAGTGGCGATAGAACGAGTCAGTTCCGGGAGCAAAAGGTGATGTGTGGGCGTTGACGTCTGGAGGACTTTGGTTTGGTGCTTGCTGTAGGGTTTCGGGTAGGGCATTTTCTGAACCTAGGCCCTGCGCTTGGGAAGGTTGAGCTAGCATATTCCTGAGAGCTGTCCTCCTCTCTGTTGCAACTCTAGACGCAACGTTTGCAGCTTCTTCTTGCCTCAAAGTGTGCTGAGCCCTCCAGACACCCTCCTTATCCCTACGCCAGATTATGATTGTCTCATCGTAAGACCCCGACACAATACGCCCAAACTTTCCACCACCTCCTCCTGGGGGTAGCTTGGCACCATATGCAGTGATATCCTCAGGCTTCCTCGAACCAGCATTCCGAGGCCGGCCTCGTTGAAAACCAGTCTGGCTGATCGCTCCTGAATCAAGCGCCTTGAAATATTCATTATCAGTTTTCTTAGCATCCTCTCTGTCCTTTTCTTCGCTATAAGGCAGATCCCCAAATCCCGCCTGGACAGTTCGGACGAGGTTCGTGTGAGCTCTGAGACTTGCAACCTCGAGGCCAGATTCTTTATCGAAAACCTTCACCTCATTGTCACTGCTTCCGCTAACGATCCGACGTCCATCGTATTGAACACAGGCGATGCCTTTGGTATGGCCGATGAAGGTCCGTCTACATACCTGTTCCGGCCAATTCCACACCTTGACGGTGCGATCGCCTGAAGCGGATACAACTTCATCGCCATGGATTTGTACAGCATTTACTGCTGCTCCATGCCCTTCCAAGCATGCTATCATGGAATAAGCCGGTCTAACGGGGAGTCCAGCCGTCGGTGCAGGGTTGAAGCCATAATTGTTCAGATATGTTGGCACCGGATTAACCCCTTGGAACGTATCTGGATATCCCAGCTCCCCAGGGTGCAGGGGTTTACGGTTGAAAACCTTGATGGTTTTGTCCTTTGAACAGGTGACTAAAACGCGCTTATCAAATCTAACATTCAAGACCGATTCTCGATGCGCTTTTCTTAAGCGCTGGATGATCTGTCCGGTGGAGAACTTCCAAAGAACTATCGTGGCATCGCTACTCCCAGAAACAATCAGGTCCTCTTCGGGGTCAGCATCGAACTGAAGGCACAGGACTGAGCCAGAGTGTCCAAGCAACGGCTGCCTTACCAGGCGCCGGGTGTCGAGATCCCATATTCGGAGAGTTCTATCCCTGCTGCCACTAACCAAGTATTTTCCGGAGTGTTGAATGGTGTAAATGCATTCTTTGTGGGCCTCCTCAGGGTGGTCTGGGTGTGGCAGTTGAAAATTGGTGTATTTCTCTGTTTCCCAATTGGCTTCTAACCGTCTCCTCTGAGAATAAAGGTACTGCCAATTCAACTTTTTCTTGTTGTCACTCCGGTCTAATACGACTAACGATGATATGCTCGATATGGGACCTGGACTCTTCGGGCGTGCTGAGCCAGCTGAAATGCGGTGGTTTGTTCGGTCTTGGAGAGGTGCTCGGGTAATCGCAGGTCTACTTGGATACTGCATGGATTTGGTGTTCTGGTATGCAGAGAGGTCTACCATATTCTCGTCATCGTCAGGCTTGGGCTGTTTTGAGATTTGCCGACTGGTTGAGGGCCCGAAGAGAGATGGCTGGTTACCCGTCGCGGTATCGATATCCACCATCTCGGAATCACCGTCTCCCAGATTTGGAAGAATACGTTGTGGTGTAGCCCTCCTCTTACGTTCGTGCTCATCGGCGATTTTCTCATCTGATCTTGACTGATCCTCGTTTAATGAAGCCTCGAACTTCTGAACCTCCGATTCAATGACCCGAAAACCTTCAAGGAGATACAACTGCTGCCATAATTTTCTGTCCAAAGCTAGCAGCATCCATTCCCGCGATGCTCGAGCTGTATTGATGAGGGATAGGGGATCGAGAAATCCGAGAATCTTCAGGCATACCTCCGGGGGGAGGTACTGGAAGAAATTTATGTAGAGACGGGGGCGAAGACGTCGAACGATCTCGCATACCTCGGACGTGGGTAGTTGGTTGATGATGCCCATAACGTATTCTACCTGAGATTAGTGACAGCGACAGTATCTGCATTCTGTTGAAGCCTACCAGTCCGTTCCGCCACGGGCATATTCTGCACCCAAGGGGGGGCGACGGCAGACCCAGAAACGGATCCAACAGTCAACGGGTCCTCGCTATAGCCCTCATCCTGCGGCGAGTGTTGGTAAGACGACATGGCTGGGGATCAGCAAGCCCGGGGGCAGCGAGTCTGTTGCAAGATGAACAAGCAACCTGGGATGAGCCAAAGCGCAGCGAAAGTGGCTCTCCCCGGCAGGACGCAACACAAGGCTGCCGGACGCTGGGAGGCAGGCAGCCAGTCAGTTCTATGGTCAAAGCAACCAAGCGACGGTGGTGAAGATCCGGGGGAAGTAGATAGATGAAGCCGCACACCTCACGCGATCACATCAATGGCAGCGAGTGATGGGGCCTGTATGACAGAGGCGTATGTTCGTGTTTGAAGGAGGCGTTGGTGGTGGTGAAGTGAAAGTGTAGCCGTTGATGTTCCTCGGGTGCGCATCTGGTCTGTCTGGCCGGCCGTATGTCAACATGACTTACCTGGCTTGCCGTACCTTACTAAGAGCGGAAACGCCGCCATGGATAAGATTAGTTAGCGCGTCGGCTGCATAGACTGCTCCTGTCTCAAAGACGACCCACGAGACAAGAGGGAGAGAGAGGGACGACTCCTGCGACAACCCACCATCCTCCACCACCATCTTTCGACTCTCGACGCTCGACTCCCGACTCTCGATCTTCAACTCCTCCTCCTCCAAACCACCTCCCCGCCGTCGAAAAGATCAATCGTATCGCGGCTCGACGGCGGTTTGAATGCCGAACCAGGCTTCCTCGCCCCCCCGTTCATGTCATCTGGCTCCGTCGCCATCTCCATGGCCCACGCCCACGGACCACTCACTCGGACAAACACTGCGCCTGTCTTCACCACCACCGTACCCGGGAGTACAAGTACTACACCCCCCACTGGTTTACGACAGACAATGAGCCATGCCTCCAGATCCTCCCAGATGTCGGGGTCGACGGCGTATACGTCCTCGTCTTCGACCTCCCTCTCCTCGATGACCAGCTCGTCAACCCTGATGCCTCCAGCCAATGGCGGAGCTGTCGTTGCGACGAATAATATCATCAATCAGCGGGCAGATGCGTCCCGGTCTCTCTATCAGATATGCGTCAATTTACGGCAGAGGTTATCTCAGGTGCCGGGATTTAGTATACATCTCAGCGATTCGGACGATGAAGACGAGGGGGAGGACATGGATCCCGTTTCGTCGCTGTGGAGGTGTTTGCGGAAGGGAACGCCCTTGATGACTATCTATAATTCTCTCCAACCGGCGGAGCCATTGCAGATGGACGAGGCAACTGCCGCGAAGAACCCCAAAAAGCCCGCATTCAAATTCGTGGAGGCCTGTTTAAGGGACTTGAAACTCCCTCCCGGTGAATGTTTTACTCTATCAGATCTGTTTGGTGATGATACGACAGGCTTCGTCAAGGTATGTGAAAATCACCGCCTTACACCTTCACAATACATCTATGGCGGTCATGGAATTTCTGTGTTCAATCTGGTCACGAATATGGCGGATTATCCACGTTTCCCTGACCAACTTTCATCTGCTAACACCTGCTTACCTAGGTCACCCAAGTTATAAACTTTGTACTCGATAATGCCGAACAGCGGGGCCTCCTTTTGACATCAGAGAAAGAAGATGTTGCGCCGACTGTGCCGGCGGGGTCTCAAATGAGCTATCGAGACCACGTCGTCCGTGAGCTCGTAGATACCGAGCGCAAATACGTCCAGGATCTCGAAAACTTACACGAGCTTAAGAAGAAAATCGAGCAGAAGGGCGTCATTCCTGGCGACGTGGTTCATGACATTTTTCTTAATATCAACGCTATTTTGGATTTCCAAAGGAGATTTCTCATCAAGATCGAGACCACCAATTCCCAACCGGAGGATCGACAAGAATGGGGTCTACCTTTCACCAACTATGAAGAAGCTTTTGGCATATACCAACCTTTCATTGCGAATCAACGAAAGGCCGCCGACATCGCGAAGAGGGAATTTGATAAGATTGTCATGGCCGATCATCCTGTCGTTGTTGATTTCAACACATTGGATGGATTTTTACTGAAACCAATGCAACGCCTGGTCAAGTACCCGTTGCTGCTCAAGGTACATATCCTATTCTTATTGTATTTCATGTTTGGCTAGCTAATTGGTGCCAGGATCTACGAGATAAAACAGGTGCAAATGAAGAGACAAAGGCGGACCTAACTGCCGGAATTGAAGCCGCAAATCGCGTACTCAGGCAGGCCAACGAGGCTGTGGATCGCGAGCTGAGAAATGAAGCCTTGACAGATCTGTGCGCGCGTGTAGATGACTGGAAAAATCATCGAGTTGATCATTTTGGGGAATTGCTACTCCACGGGCATTTCCCGGTGGTCACAGGGAAAACCGATGTTCAAAAAGAAGTAGGGTCCCCTTCTTTTCTTGCTACTAAAAATTTTCTGTTTGGGGATATAGAGGCGGTGGTATGCTTCAAGTGCAAGGCGCTGTACCCATTCTATATCTCGGGAAAGGCTATATATTCAGAGCTCAAGCCCATGTTAACCCCTTAATTGGCGAACTATTCGTGGTTTAGAAACATGCTAACGACATGGGCGTCACTTGCGCCCCCTCTACGAGTAGTATACGATCTACCTTTTTGAACGCATTCTGCTCTGCTGCAAAGAGATCAATCCAAACAAATCAAAGGATAAGCTCATGGGAACTCAGAAGGACAAGAAGGACAAGAAGGATAAGAAGAAGGAAATGAACAAGAACGCAAAGCTCCAACTTAAAGGTCGGATATTCATGACAAATGTCACAGAAGTTCTGTCACTAGGAAAGCAAGGTAATGCGCTCAGATTCCTTGTCGAAGGGGCCAGGCTAACGAATAGACAGGTTCCTACACAGTACAGATTTTCTGGAAGGGAGACCCTGGTGTGGAAAACTTCATCATCCGATTTTCTAACGAGGAGACTATGAACAAATGGTACGCAGGTATTGACAACCAACGGAAGCAGCAAGCTGCCGCTGCTGCCCAATCTGGCAGTAGTCCAGATGGACCAGTCGCCGATTTTGCTTGGATCCGCGACCAAGCGGCCATGATGCCAAACCCTTACGCTCAGCAAGACGACGATGACGACGACGAGGATTACCCAGGACAACAGACTTCCCCATATCAGGGGCAGAATGGGATGCCTCGGAATACATCTAGTACGAGTCTCCGATCAAGATCGACGACTGGTGAAAGTCAACAGTCCTTGGCCGGGATAGCACGAGCACCACCTCCACGTTTCCCCATAGGGTTTGTGAGTCCTCCTCTCAGCTTACAAACAACAATGTCATCTTCAACTGCGCCTTCACCGGGTCAGCGAGGTGGCGATTCATATTTCTCTCCAACGGAGTCGCCGGCGTCCTCAGCAAGAACCAGCACGGCTTCCTCGGTGTTCCCCTTCCCACGTCAAGGGACACCACAGAGTGGCTGGGAGGATCCCACAAACCGGTACACCGCTCCAGCTCTCGCACGAGCACCGTCAAGGGATAGTTCAACGTCGGCAAACGCATACCAGATGAACGGCCGGACACCTCAACGGCCATCTCTTCCGGCTATGGCAACAGGATCGTCTCAGGGTAGTGTAGCCCAGCAGCGTGGCCGGTCTTTCAGTACTCCCGATATCAATGGCCAGAATGGAAGCCGCCGCTTGCCCAACGGACTCCCCAGTGGACCCGTTCCCGCTGTCCCGGGTATTCCTTCTCATCTACAGCATCCAGCTTATGATATTAGTATTCCACGATCTGCTAATAATTCGCCTAATGGGGGGCCCGTGAGATCAAGCACACAATCACCAGGAAGTCAACGAGAACGTCAGCAAGCACAATACCCCAACGTTCCCCAGTACAAGCGGGCAAACACAAACCCTATTCAGATGGTTCCAGATAATCGAGCAACATCTCCACCACCGAGTAGCGCCATGTCGGGAGACAGCGATATGGGGTTACCAACCCAGTTGAAGGTAAAGGTCAATTGTGACGGGAATTATGTTACATTAGTGGTAGCGTTCAACATAACGTATCAGTCTCTTATTGATCGAATCGATGCCAAAGTGGGACGATTTTCCAACAACGCCATCGCTCGGGGGACGATGAGATTAAGATACCGTGATGAGGATGGAGACTTCGTTACGATTGAGTCGGATGACGATATACAAATCGCCTTCCAAGAGTGGCGGGAAGCGCAGAAGCTTCAATACCACGCTGGACAGCTTGGTGAAATCGAGTTGTTCTGTCTCAGCGTGGATAACAACTAGGATATATTGGATGATGAAGCCCGATCTATGGTTCTTGAGATAACTACTAACATTCATGGATGGAGGATTATGATTGCACGTTGAGATGATTTGGGATGCTCGCACTCGGACAGGATCATGAATAGGGGTTTATTGTTTTAACCGGTGTTACTTGGCGCATTTTCACTTCCATCTTTCACACAGAATGGCGCTGCGACATTTTGGGGGATGGAATCGGCGTAGTGCCTTCATGTGCATGAGGATGATTTGTTGCGAGGACCACAGATAGATTACGTCTGGTAGAGGGGAAGATGTAGCCTGACGACTCGGTGGTTTTAACTGCAGTGATGCTTTCAGTGATCCGAGATCTATGGTTTACCAAATACTTGAAAGATACCTTGTTAAACATGATTCATTTTTTCGAATCTTCTGCTTTTCCAAATGGTGATATTACATGCCGATACCAATACGCCATAAATGCTCCCTCACTGGACCTTGAGATAAGGTAGTATTGGTACAGACGTTCCCGTTCAGCCCGAACTCCTCACTTCCCCAAATATACAGTTCTATCTCGTTTCTAACCACAAGCTCACTTCCTTTTCCTCGGCCCTACAATGTTCGGGTACATGCGAGACAGGTGGTAGTTGATGGTATTCTTCTTCTGGGTTTTCGGTTTCTGCGTAACGCATTAGCCCCTTGCTCTGTGAAGCACTACATTTCCACCGCACATCCCCTCGCCACGGGAATCACAAGTGCCAGGAAGCATCGATTTAAGGCCGGAAACGAAGCAGGAAGATGAAACGTACCGGCGCATCCATACATGCCCTCAACTGCGCCTCCACGGCCTGGCATCCGGCGACATTAAAACCTGCGGAAGCCCAACATGCTATTTCCCGCAAGTCAGCTACGGGCTTCGAGAGGGGAGAGATCGAGGAGAGGAGGACGTACACAGGACGGAAGACATGATTGACACGCATGGGTTGGCATCTGCTTGGTTTGGACGACGGACTCGTAGTTTGTGGAGGGGAGGAAGCCGCATGGGCTGCAGCTTTGTGGGGGCACCTTTGGCAGGCATCTTGACTGTATAGTTCAATACAGCAAAAAGACCAAAAGATGGCGATTGACTTGGCTGTCCGGAACTGTTGGAGTACCTTTGCCGTTGTCCTCTCGATTCGGAAGATTGGAGTCGCGGGCTACAACATTTTTGGAGCTAGTCTAGATTGGCACTAGCGTAATTACCCTGATTCGTCCCCAATCTACATGTAAACAAACCCGCAGTCGTGTGTTCATCCACATGTAAACCCACCATCATCATTACGATTCAACGCCGACTCTGTTTGTTATAACTTGATGTCTATGTTTAAGACGGACGTCTTGCGCTTCAATCATATTCTTTTCAATTGCAAAGAAGATTTCTAAATAAACAGTGGGGGAAACCGTGCGAGGACATGGAGAGTGTTGATATTGATCCTCCCTCTCAAGCTCCCGCTGAGGGCCACAATTGGTACTGCGCCCCTAAGCCTTTCTTTTGCTTTATACATTCCAAGATTTATTCTGACTGCCTGAGTAAAGGGAGATATACCGCGATGCCTTCGCGCCGCCGCAAGGCATTCGCAGACCCAGACCTTGGGAACGAGCGCCCGTTCCTGCCCACGCACCGCGCCTTCAAGGCCACAAGATATGGAAGAAGGCTGGGCTCCGAAGAAGAGAGGATAAAGAGAATGAGACGACTCTGTTAGAGCTCCAGTCAGAAGGCAAAGGCGCGCGAAAGAAGCAGAGGGTGAGGGGCGCGAGGGAAAATATTGGGAACGCGCCTTGGAAGGACGGACTTCCTACCACAGACGCTCTCCAAGTCCAGGATAGTATGTTATTCAAGGATACTGAGAATGGAACAGTGGCAGAGAAGGAGGCCGGAAAGGAAGAAGGCGCGCTTCAGTTCGTACCACGGAAACGGACGAATACGGATCATGTTATTACGCCAAGGAAGCCTTTGCGGCAGATATCTCACAACCTCCCTGCGCAAACACAGTCGGTCGGGTCACCAAAAGCTACAGTTGATAAGCCATCACGCAGAAGAAAGTCCACGAGGAAAAGCATTCGGAAATCTACAGTCGTATCATTACCAGAAGATGCAACTACTAGCCCGTTTAGTCTTGAGATTCCGGGTCTCAAAACAACCAGAGATTCTGTTCTGCCTGCGTTCGCTATCAATGAATCATGGGAAATCGCTTTGGATACGATGCATGATAATGAGTCTCGGGGTGCAGAGAATGAGCCCACTTTAGAGAAAGAGGCAGAACCACTTTCTAGCATCTACCACACGACAAGTTCCGCGGCCATGATACCATTGAATGATCATGGAGACGGGTCTGAGGAATTGAACAGTGGGCTTCGCATGGAGAAGCTTACAACGGAAGACGCACAATCTGTCGAAGAAGATAGAACAGAGGCAGGGCAGTCTCTCGAAGGTCAAACCGAGGTTCTTCGAACAGTCGAGGGGAAAGCTATCATTGAGACAGCTCATTCAGCACAAGTCACGGAAACCCCGAAGAAGAGAAAAGCAGCGAGCCTCCGGAAAGGTACACGACAAAGTACAAGAAACATGAGGACCAGTTCAGTAAAGGCTGAAGATCAAAATGGTGAAGATATTGCCGCATCTCAAAATATGGAATCACTCAGTCAGCCAGCTCTCTGCAACTCCATGGATGCCAGGACTACTTTAAGTGAAGTTGTTCAGCCAGCCACAGTTGAAACATCAGTCACTACAGGTACCCAGGATCTCATGGGTCTGACCAAGCGGGATGCATCTAATCAGACGGTTGACGCAGAAGTTCTCGCCAAAGAACACTCAGAGCTTCCCCAAATGGAGCTGCCAACCCAAGAGGTGCATTCAGGAACCGAATATGATGATCCGGCGGATACTGAGACTCCTGGAAGTCCCGTACCCCACGCCGAGAATGGATCAGCAGATTTGGAGTTGTCAACCGATCTGGTCATGGAAACAGGCATTGATGCAGAGGAAAGAATTCAAACGTCCGAGTCGAATGCTCCAGAGTCGCCCACCAGTCTAGAGCATGTTGAGGAAAGCACTGAAGAAACCCAAGCTGAATTAGCTACGCAGATAGCTGAGCCGGTCTCTTCTACGGACGAAGCTCCTCCTGCTACTCCCTTGCCTATGCAAGTCTCCCCAAATACGGAGATCGAACTATCATCAGCAAATTCAGAGGAACAAACCATCGAAATGCTGGAAGTTCTCGAACCCATACCTATTGTCCCTACAGGCGAGACGTCAAACACAACAGACGAACCAACGGAGGATCTTCCAGGGTCGTCAACCCCAGATCCGTCAACGTCGGAACTTGTTGAAACCATCTCAGAGAATGCCCCATCAGTGGCCTACGATCATGATGAGACTGATATGCTCCGAGACTTCCTCAGCCGAGTCAAAGCAAATAAGGCGGCAAAGGCAGACAAAGCTCCTCCGAAACGGAAAAGATCATTGCCCCACTCACCTCTTCGACTTCCTTTGGGAGATGTCGACGGCAATACGTCACCCTCACCTCAGAAAGCCAAAGATGAGTTTGATGTCGGCCCACCTCCGATCTCGCCCAGCAAGGGCAGGAAGAAGAAGAATCCGGTGGTGGATGAGGAAGACGTGACTGAGCCAAAGTCAATCAGACGCAGTGGACGGACAAGGCTGCCGGTGATCAAAACACCGCTCGGGGCGCCAAGTCTGATCCCAGTCCGCAGGTTAGGCCAAGATGCCGATACGACAGTCACCCTCCGGCGGAGCGAAGAGAAGGAGCTGGCGGCATTGACACGGGTCAATACCCGCAAGAACAAGGGTGGAGCTCTGAGTGCAGCAGAGGTTTTAATTAAGAAGGCCGCGGAGAAAGAGGACCCTGTGCATCGGCAACGACTCCTCAAGGAGGCATTTGACGAAAAGCACAAAGGGAAGGGCAAGAAAGGCAAGAGTGTTACTTGGGCAGAGGAGTTGGCACAGTTCCAGACGATGCCGGGAGATGCTGAGAAGTCAAAGGCAAAGGAGAAGGAGTCTGGGCCGGAGAAGAAGAGCGCGGTGCGGGTGGGCGTCAGGAGCAAGATGGCGCTGGGGATGGCGGTGAACGGAACACCGGCTCCCAAGAGGAAGATGCGGGGACGTTCCTGAGAGTGTTGGAGTGAGGTTTTGTATATGAGAGGAGCATCGTAAGTGTCGGAGACTCTCGAGCGCGCATGTTTGGGTGGCTGGCGTTGGATGGGTTGGAATGGTTACCGGGTCAGGGGAGCTTCTTCTACGCAGTGGTCGTGCCGTGCCGCGACTGGATGATCAATAATGACTAAAGAATCCCAAGCATCTGTGCGAGTGAACGTGCATTTGAGTGACGTACATATGATACAGTAGGTAAGGGATGTAATGAGACAATAAAAGATGAGGAGAGACGGCAAGTAATAATAATAATAAAAATAATAATCAAACAACAAGGGCCAAGAATGTCGAAGCGTCGGGGAGTTTTTCCAAAGCAATTTACACCGCAAGATAGCCGCTCCGTGCTTTATCGCACAATCACGGGGGCGCTAGCCAGTCACAGCCTAGCGCCGGACCCGGCCCCGAGCGGGCGGGCGCGGTGAACCCAGAGCAGTGGACAGCGGTCGCGGATCCTCTGGGATTTATGGATTTTCATTATGGATTTACGGATTTCTGGATTTCCGCGTGGCTTTTGCTGGGTTTTGTTTTGTTTTTATTGGGGAGGTTTTATATGGCATATCCGTATTCCCCGCGCTGCAGGTGGGCTTTTTTTCTGCGTCTCCTTTTCTCTGGGAATTATTATACCTTAAGGTACCTTAGAGTATTATCCCTTGGGACCTGGGCCTGACCTGACCTTACCTGATCAGGTACCGTGTTTTTCTGGTGGATGCATATATATATATATATATATTGGATTCTCATCATTCATTCGAGGAGACATACCTACTTGTACATACCTTTACTTTACATATTCATATACATACTTACTTGCTTACTTAAAGTACTTGGTACTTCCAGCACTCGGCCTGCATGGCATGCCGATCGCCCGCCTACACCTACATACATATCCTGCTCCATCTATTCCCCGCGCATAGGGCAATCAATCTCTCGTCATCAGCAGCTCTCCAGGTCCTGAACTCAGATCTTGAGAATCGAATCGAGTCGAATCGAATCTATCCAGGAGACACGCGTTCTCTTCCGTGTTCATTTGCTCCTCCATCCGTTCGTTCGTTCGTTCGTTCAGCAGAAAAACATACATCTACCTTACATTTCCCACACCCGCGTCTCCCCTATCCTATCCTATCCAAACAGCTTTCTCACCTCACACGCAACCCAACCCAACCCAACCACTCAGCAGCCACTTTCTGCACCCGTCGAAAAAAAAACTCTCAGCATCCTTCCTCCCCGGAGACGAGACACACGCTCCTCCTCGAGGGGAATCCCAAAACTGCTGCGTGGACGCCCGATGTGCGATTACACGCAGGTCGAGTTCCGGTGCGGGCACGTCCGCTACACGGTGCGGGCTTGGTGCTCGAGCTATGAGACGACGCATCGACGATGTCCGCCTACGGTCGTGGCGATTGAGTTTAGGTATGTATGAGATGAGATGAGATGAGATGAGATGTGATATGATATGAGGGGGGCATTCATTGTTCGTTCCTTACTCCTGGTTGGATCAATCCAGGGGTTCGGGTTGTGGTGGTCAAGAAAGTGAAAGATGGAATGAATGGATGGCTGACTGTGTATATGTTCATACACAGACTAGATGAACGATGTGGTATGTGACTTCTGTTTCTATTTATTTTTCAATTCTTTGGTTATGGTTTTACTTTTCTATTGTTGATTTCGTTTCCTTTTCCTTCTCCCTGTGCCCCTCCTGTCTCCCTTCTAAACTCGTGTTCGCTCAGCGGCTAATCGTGTGGCTCTAGGGGATTGTCGCGCGCCGGCTATCACGCCTACGTGGATGGGACAGTACACGAAGAACTCGCGCATCCAGGCTTGAGCGGGGTCTGGTCACGATCTAGGAGTTATTACCCGGGCGCTTTGAAAGGGAGCAGCAGATGATGATTGATTGATGGAGGGACGGGATGGGATGGGATGGTCGAGTAGTGAGTGAGTGAGTGGGGTTGGACGCGGGGGGGGATTCCCAAGGGTTCGCTCCCCGGCCACGGCGTCTTGATTGAGGGTCTCCTACATGTAGTAGTATCTGCGTGTGAGGAATGGGATACGATAAGGAGGGATTTGGGATAGATGGGATGGATGGGATGGCAAGGAATGGGAAGGGAATGAATTAATCACGCGGTGTTCTCGGACGGGACTCGGGGGGGGGGAGTGTCGGTGCTCATGTTTTACTGTGGTCTTACCTTTCATCTCTTGTGTTTATTTATTGATTCTATATCTATATATCTATATATCCAAATGCCTCAACACCCAGGTACCTAGCCAATATCTATTTCGAGGCTGGCATAATGAAAGACGGGTTCTGCGTATCTTACTTCTACCAAGTCATGTCTCGATTCTCAACAGACGACCTCTCCCACCCCAATCAGCAGGAGGAATCCCCGTCATCCTATCAACTCAAACATGTGGCAGTACCAAACCGCGCGACCAGGTTTTTCCTTTCCTCCCGCGCGCGCCGGGACTTCCCACTGCATAACAGAACGTGGCCACGGCTGGCTGGTTGTACTTTTGCATGGCTTTCACGTCTCTTCCCCGGGTACGCTACGCTACTCCGGAATGATCACATCAAAGCACATCACATCAAATCAAATCCAATCAAATTCAATCAAACCAGTCCAATATCCCCCTCGGTGGCATGTACTTGCAAATAACATTCCAGCCATGGCCCATCAGAGGCAATAAACGCCATGGCCAAGTCAGTAGTTCGAGGGTCTTAATGCAAGCCATGTCGCGCCGCCACCGCTCTTGCAATCCCGAGAACCGGGTTATGAAAAGGGGGCTTATTATTAGAGTCTGAGCTACTACTGTACGTAGGACCTAGGTACCTTATGTACATTAGGTATGTATGTAGGTTGTTATGTGGGTATTTTTGAATGAATGTATATATGATAAGGCAGGGTAATGTAGGTAGGGTAGGGTAAGGAGATATTTGCAGTAAGTAAGTAGGTAGTACAGGATGGTATAGAGAATGCAAATGCAATGCGATGCAATGCCGTGGGGTTGGTTAAAATACGAATATCCCCTCTCCCCCTCCTCCTCCTCTTTTCCCCCACTTCTACACCACCTCCCCCCCAAAATACCCAACCCAAAGTCTAGACAGACAGACCGACGTATTCAAAAAAGCAAAAAAGCACCCATGAAAAAAAAAAACAACCGAAACGACCCTAGAGTGTGGCACTGTGGCGAAACCAAAAGGGGGGGAAGGGAAAAAAAGAAAACATAAAACATGAATAACAAAACAAAACAAGAACTACTCAAAACCCTCCGCCCCTCCCTCTCTCCCTCCGCGTTCCAGTTGCACGGCATATCTCGCGAACGCCAGATCGCCGGGATTTGGGGAGGGAGGGGAGAGATCGGAAGCATCTAGAAGACCCTGGTATGGATGGCAGCATGGCTTGTGATTAGCGTGCATGGTTATATGATTATTTGGATTATTTAGATGGATGGATTTGCTGCTAGGTAGGGGGGGTTTTGTCATATTTCACAAATCAGAAATCACTTTCTTTTTATAGGGAGGCGTTTTTGTTATAGATTTTAATGAATGCTGCTGTACTTCTGTGTTGTTCCTTCTATACTGTATACCTACATTGTTACACCGCTGTGAGGCATGAACATGGAAAGGAAATGCATATATGTATGTGATATACCCTGTGAAAGGCAATAATAATATCTGAGGATATCAACCTATCCTCGGCAGTCAAGCGGTGCGGCGCGGAAACCGGGTCTACGGCTCGGGTCGGGTCGGGCGTGCCGTTGACGGTTGACGGATTGCTCTAGCCCTCTTAGGTAAATTACCTTAGGTCGTGCCCGGCTGTCGGGTACGGGGCTAAGGTAAGCAGTCAGCATATCTTAAGGTACTTACCCCTTGCCTTGCCTCATCTCATCTCATCTCATCTCACCTCATCTCGGATCCCGTCCTGTACCAGAAAGCAGTTGAGCATGGAGAGAAGTCGAGAGTTCTTCCAGTCCGAACAGACAGACCAGGTGATAAATATCATAATATCACAATATCATATCATCATATTACCCTCCGTAAAGTGACCACTCTGCATCCATCATGCAGCTGGTGGCGCGGGGGGGAATCCGAACATGACGCCCGCCGCGGTTTGGGGTGCTTTGCGCTTCAGCATGTGAATGACTCGCGCGCAGCATTTGTCGGTCAGCAGGAATTACCAGGTATTACTGCAGGAGAACCGATATTCTACATATCCCATATCCTATATCCTATATATGCCTAAATTCTAGGTATATTATTCTATATATTCTACATGCATGTAACAAGTGCCCACACTCAATATATCCGGTTCTGCGCTCGGTACCGCCGTCGGAGAATAAGGTAAACCGCTTCTCCGGGTGGGTTATTATTAGTGGCATGGCAATTCTGGGCTTGACTTGACTGACTGACATAAGACTTAGATAATATATATCATCTGTGAATCTGTGATACAACTCGCCAATGAGAGGATTCATCTATGGCCATGCTTTGGACTCTTGGAGGTGAAGAGTGTTTGATCTACCACTAAGCAAGAATGAAGTAAAGCAGGCTTTGAAAAGAGAAGAAGAAAAGCAACTGCCGTCTCCCCTTTCTTTCTTCCTTCTTCTCAACCGAACAACCCCCTTTTTAGGTCTCTTCAGGAATCTTGCTTGCTCTTTCTTCCTCGTCATGTATCTCGCACCTCTTAACAAACAGTCGATTCACAATCCCAAGAATCAATCCCTCCTTTCTTCTACTTACCTACCTACTCTACCTATCTATCTACGTCCAAACCCTCCTTCATCACCATGACAGACTCCCAACGTTCGTCTTCGAGAACCCGAGTCGCATAAATACCGCTTACTCCGGCGTTTATGAACCTCATCACATCCCATCACATCCCATCCCATCACACCGCGTTGTATCACATATCTTCACCACCTAGAGAAACTCCTCTTGCGAGTTGGATAATCAGGATTTTTTGATCTTATCCTATTTATTCATTCTGTTCTGTTTCATCGCATCGTTTTGAGACCGAGATGAACCCGCAAATGGATTATCGGTTTTTTTGGGGGGGGGGGGGGGGGGCGGTCCTCCTTCTTTTTACTTTCTACTCGTATTCTTCGTGCGGTGATGATGAGTATAATACTCCTGGCAATTCTCCTCGTACCTCGCTCTACCTACGTCCCCATCCAAGGGCACACATATGTTGGGGGGACTTCCTGCTTACCCGTTCACGTTGACACCTCCAGCCTTGACGATCAAACAGCATATTGCGGAAATCGATATTATTAGCAGAGGGGAACATGTACAGCTATCTCCCTCTATACCCTGTTCATCCATGCTCCAAAAGCAGAAGAACAGAAATCATTCCTCGTGAACTCGTCATGAAGTCGGGCTGTCTGTCCCTAACCCATCGTATCTATCTACAAGCAGGCCCGTCGCCTTCGCCGTCATAGGACCCCAACATCCGAAGCAGACAAAACACCAACCTGAAGAAGAAAAATGCAAATGCCCATTTCGCGCCTAGAATGCTGATTTCGGGCCCAGGTATCATATAAATATATGCGCCCTTTAATCCTCTTCTCCAAAACGTTAATTTCGGTTGATGCCTTGTCGTGCCTGTATGATTCCGGAGATCAGTACATGATGGGTGAATGATCAGAAAGGGGAGGACAAACCTTCATCTGTTCAATCTTTGCCTTCAATGCATTAGTTACCTCTGCTGCTCTCTTCCAAGACTCTACCGGCTGTCCATTCGAGATGCCGTTGCCCTCACGTTGGCCTAGAAGAATCCGAGTCAGCAGTCATCTCTTTAGGGGAAGAAACAATAGCCAGGCAACGTGAGAATGTATCGAGAGCATGCCACCCCCCCCGCTCGTGAATCAGTCCAGAAGTGAAGAAATTGACCATACCATTCATGCTATCTGCCCGACTACTATAACTCGTTGGCGCAGGGCTTCCCCGTCCACCACTTCCACTGGCTGCGCTCGTGCGACCGTTTCTGGTGCCGTCGGGACTCAGTTTGTGTCGTCCATATTGACTTGCCAACACATCACCCGTGTTCTCCTTCTCCTCGCTGAGAGCAGAGGTAAAGGACAATCGAGATCGACTGCTGTACCCCGTTCGAGCATTGTCTTGAGGTGCGCCGTACAGGCCGGTGTCGCGGTAGATGCCGGCTTCATCGCTGAAAACGTCCCGGCTTGGGCTCGCTATCATGGGGGTGCTGTTGACGCGTTCTTCCCTAGTGAGAGCCCGTTTTAGCCTCTCCATTTCTCTCCGTAATTGTCCGCACATGGCTTCTGCTGCTTCACAATCCGATCTCGCGCGCACGAGTTGCGTCTCTTTGGCCTTGATGGATAGAACATCACGGGTATGATCTTCGATCAGTTGCGCGTTCTGGTTCTTGAGTTCCTGGACCTCTGAGTTGAGACGTGAACGCTCTTGGCGCAGATCATCGCATTGCCGAAGAAGGCGATCCTTATCAAGTCGAAGCTCTTCGAGTTCAGCACGCTCAACAGCGGTCAAGCCAGAGTTTGGAGGTGGTGATATGGAAGAGGCTGGTGGCGGGGCATTCACAGCAGGGGCTTTGGCAAGAGACCGACCAGCCAAACCTCGTCCACCAAGACCAAGACGGGGTGGAGGTGGCGCATCGTCTTCAACGGGGGCAGCTTGAGCGGCCGGGCGTCGTGGTGATGCAGTAGGTGCTGCTCCGCCTGGTCCAGGTAACGCCCTCTTCAAGGGGGCTTTCAAACCACCACCTGGAGTCGCAAGTCCTGAAGCCTTCGGTGCGCCAAGTTTGGAGCCCGCAAGGCTTCTCGCGGTCGGTTGAGGTGCTAGGGGCGCTTGCGCTTCTTGGGCATATACACTTGGTGCTGGAGCTGGTTTCTTTGTTGCCGGCTTCTTTGCTACGACCTTCCGTGGGGCTGCTGCTGGTGCAGCTTTAGGTGGTGCAGCGGCCGGTGGAGGTTTGGGCTTATCCTTCGCTTTGACTTCAGCAGTGTCGAAATGCTCCTTGATCTTGGCCTTTCTAATGTCGTCCAATCCTTCGAGATGTGGTCCCATAGCGCGCTCACCCATAATCTTCATGACTGTACCCAAAACTTCTGCACCTCCTGATCTTAAGCCTTCGCTTGATTCAGAAAGCAGCTTCTTAGCGGCCTCCGCAATTGAGGTTACTTCAGGCTTCGATGGGGCCTCCCGAGTCGTCTTCAAGCATCGAATTAAGAACTTCATGGTGCCTTCTTTAACTTGAGGATTCTTGTGCTTCAAGTACTCAAGTATTTCCTCCAAGCACTCCGACAAGCTGGTAGCAAGGAAGACCTGGTCCAGAGCCGCACCAAGAGCGTCGGCTACTGAGGCCTTCTTCTCCTTCAGCCTCTCCATGATAGGACTCATGACGTTCGAGCGGTACTTTCCGAACGATTTTCGCAACCCCTTAGCCAGAACCTCTATACATTGTGCTGCTTGGGTGACAACTGCAATGTTCGCGTCCTTCATACATTTGGCTAATCCCCTAGTAATCTCACCAAAATCGCCATCCTTGATCCTCGGCACATTGAGAACCCCATAGAGTGCCTCAAGTGCATCCTTCCGTTCTTTCCACTTTGAAGAAGCCAACTGCTCGTGGAAGTCCGAGGCAACCTTGGATAATACATCTTGGGGCTCCGCCAAATCAAACGCATCAATCTCAGCACTTTCAGCCTCTGCTTCTTCCTCATCTTCAGCACCTGCTGATCCAGGAGGTGGTGCTCGTGCCATGGCAGCTTGTTGGGATCGTAAAAGCCGCTCCTGCTTCGGCGCTGGTTCTGCCTTGATCTTCTCAAACTGGGCTTCCATCTCCGTCTGCTGTGTAGGCTTGAGGTCGTTCCAGAACATGGGTTTCATCGCCTCTCTCAACCATCTATAAAACTCAACTGCTAGATTTGTAGCCTCCGCTCGCACATTTTTATCTGCATGTCCGAATACCTTTGGAAGGATCTTGAGGACTGGTTTCGGATCAACAGTTTTGCAGCCATAGTTGTGATATATTGCTGTCAGTGCAGCTAGCGTCGCTGCAACAACTTTTGGCTGTTTGTTAGAAAGAGCAGGGAGGAGATCTTCGATGACGGGAGCAGGGGTATCTAATTCAATGTATAATAGGATAGCTTCGAGAGATGATGCTTTGGTAGCAGCTCTTGTGGAGGCGAGACCTTTCTCCACCATTGGTCCTATTGTGTGACCTCGTGTCCTTCTGGTGTCAGCACAGATTATGCCATGAATTCCCGTGCGGCTTACCTTGTACAGGCATCGCGACCTCCGAATTTTAGGAAAGCGCATAGCGCGGCAACACCATCTTGTTGTGCAGCAACATTCGAATCTGCTACTGCGCCTTTCCAGAGGCCCGGGTCATTTAAGAAGGGTCTAAATGCAGGGTCTTGCTCGTCTGGGGTAATCTCAAATTGTTTAGCAGCCTCCTCGTATGCGGCCTTTCGAACTTTCCATATCTGCTGCAGTCAGTCCTGTGTCACACACACTGCAGGTAATGAGCCACCTTGTGCTGGAATCGATCGCTTAGGGGTAAAGAGCTGTAGTCTTCTTCCTGGTCCGCCATGGTAGGTATTGGTACCGATACCTTCGGAGGAGGGGTCTATGGCTGTCGGGTACGGTCTGCAATGCGCTGTGTTAGCTTAAGAAAGCCCATGGCAGGATGAAAGCAAATAAGTATCTTGAATATCAGACAGAAAGCAGTAGATCGGAGCCAAAGAGGCTCAAAGCAGGAGCAAGGGCTCTATGAGCGCACAAAAAAGAAGTGATGTATTTGCCTACCTAGATGGCTGCCGACAGGGTAAGGGTTAAAGGTCTATCCGCAGTGCATCCAAAGAAGAGGTCTCGCAATGGGTCCTGCGCAAAACAAGTCGTAGCAGTCGGATCGCGGTTCTTCAGACAAACGGCGACGAGGTGGAGAGTGTTGTGTTGTTGATATTCGGTTCGCCAAATGTCGAGTTGCCCACCTCTAGGCGGTCACTACGGCGACCCCTGCGTAACGGCGCGGCTGCATTGCCTCTGATTGATAGACGCAGTCAGGGGTTGGTTGGGGCAACACAAGAAAAAGGACAGTATGAGAATCATAATTTGATAAATATAATATAATATTAATAGATAAATTCGCGTCTGCAACCGCTATCCAAGAATCCCCCCGCCATGGGAGAGCGTCATCTAGCACAACCTCACAGACCGACCGCTTTGTTTGCCAGATTCCAATACATTGCCCGGTCTTCGCCTGACTAGAGGCATCGAGGACGATCCATCCGAAACCCAGCATTCGCGTTCTGCGCACAGCACTGCTCCTGCAAGTCCGCACCTTCGAAGCATAAACCTCCGCGGCAAACACCCACAGTCCGCGACCAGGCGCACTTCCGCGGGAGGGGAGACAACAAGAGAGCGGCCTCGAGCTTCATGTATCGCCTACCACGATCGCCATGAGCCAAATCCTGACGTCGCGGCAGGCCGAGGAGCTGTAAGCAACAACAATCCCGGCGGGCTCTATCTTGCGAACGCTGACAGAGGGACCAGACACAAGTCGATCATAGCATACCTCACCTCAACAAACCTACTGAACAGTGCCGCGGCGTTACGGGAAGAACTGAATATTGGGGACAGCTTCGATGCCGCTACCAGTAAGAAATATGAGGGGCTCCTGGAGAAGAAGTGGACAAGTGTGGTGAGGTTGCAGAAGAAGGTATTAGTGCCACGCGCTGCTGCAGACCAGATGTTGATCGCTCTACGCAGATAATGGATCTGGAGTCCCGAAATGCCAGTCTCCAGGCCGAACTCGACTCGGCCACTCCAACCTCTCTTTCGAAGCGGAACCAAGACCCCACTTCCTGGCTCCCAAGGTCGCCGGCAAGGCACACACTTCAATCGCATAGAGACCCGATCACATGCGTTGCATTCCATCCAGTATTCTCGTCACTCGCGTCAGGCTCGGAAGATTACACAATAAAGATCTGGGACTGGGAGCTGGGAGAGCTGGAAAGGACAATCAAAGGGCACACGAAGGCCGTCCTAGATGTTGATTTTGGTGGGCCAAGAGGCGGGACATTGCTGGCATCTTGTTCTAGCGATCTTACCATCAAATTGTGGGATCCTAGCGACGAATATAAGAATATTAGGACACTCCCCGGACACGATCACTCGGTTTCAGCAGTACGTTTTGTGCCTAGTGGCGCTGCTGGATCCCCTTCTTCTGGAAACCTCCTCGTGTCAGCAAGTCGGGACAAAACACTACGGGTATGGGACGTCTCGACTGGATATTGTGTGAAAACGATCCGTGGACATGCGGATTGGGTTCGGGACGTTTCGCCCTCTTTCGATGGGCGATGGCTTCTATCAGCCGGGAATGATCAAACAGCAAGGCTGTGGGATGCCTCCTCTGGCGAGCCAAAAGCAACTCTACTGGGTCATGAGCATGTTGTCGAATGCTGCGTCTTTGCACCGCCTTCGAGTTATGTACATCTTGCGGCACTAGCAGGGCTGAAGAAACCCCCACCCCTGAGCAGCTCTGCCGAATATATTGCAACGGGATCTCGAGACAAGAGCATAAGGATATGGGACTCCCGAGGGACTTTGATCAAAACACTCATGGGCCATGATAACTGGGTGAGAGGTCTGGTCTTCCACCCAGGGGGTAAGTACTTATTGAGTGTCTCGGATGACAAGACATTACGATGCTGGGATCTGGCACAAGATGGGAAACTGGTCAAGACCTTGGATGATGCACATGGACATTTCGTTAGCTGTATTCGTTGGGCTCCCGGGGTGGTAAAGGACGTCCCAGCCACTAATGGCGAGAATGGATCAGCCACGAACGGAACATCCAAGGAGGACCCAACTGGAAAAGTGAGCATAAGGTGTGTTATAGCAACGGGAAGTGTCGATTTGAATGTGCGAGTCTTCGCATCATGATCATGATGGATGGATGGCTGCTGGAGGAGTTGAGGAGTTAGCTTGGCATGGCTCATTTCAGTGCTTGCTAGGGTTAGCTACGAACATATCACGAACGTTATGCTTAGCATATGTATAGGAAGACCTCAGTTCTTCGACGATGACCAAATTATAGATCTACTGTATCTGACCACAACACGTGTTATTATGTTTTTCTCAGCGCAGTAGAATCGCCGCTTCTTTAGCCTTCCGTCACAGTGTACCTTACAATAAAGTGTAAAGTGCCATTCGTTGGTTGTCGCTATCCAGCCGAGACCAGGCATTTCTTCAGCCTTGCGCCTCAACGGCAAATCCGCTAAGCGAGGTTTTATATAATACAGTACTGCCTTCGCCCTTTACTCCATCTCCCAACCCGAATCCACATACACGTGCGCGACGATGTCTTCCATGAATCCCTTCGCCCGCGACTCGTCCGCCGAGTCGTCAAGCGACGAAGAAGACTTCCTCCGGCCCTCGACGGATCCCCAGGCCGACGAGTTCGCAGACTACAACCCGCGCAAACGACGGAGAACAGGGCGCGACGCGAAAGAAAGCGCAGCGTTAGGGATATTTGGTTCAGAGAGCGAAGATGAGGGGCCCGGGAAACGGTGGAAGACGAAGAGTAATTTAAGGGCGAAGGGTATGGCGTTTGTTAGTAAAGGCCAGAAGACGCTTGATGAAGATGAAGATGACGAGGATGAGGAGGAAGAAGAGGCAGAAGAGGATATTGATGAACAAGAAGATGCGGGAGACGTGGAAGCTACAGCGGGGCTGAGGGGCGGATTGAGTCTGGGTTTTGGTGCGAGTAAGGGGCTGGGTTGGCAGAGTCCTGCGCCAGGAAAGAAGCCCAGCGACGTGAAGTACGGCACGCCTTTGGGGAAGGGATTTGTACCATCCTCGGCGACGGTCCCTATTTTGAAGAACCCAGAAGCCGATGAAGATTCGACGCCCAGAATTGCGAGGCCAAGCGCGTTCTCGACTCCCGTTTCTGGAGGAGGACGAGGAGGACAGGCCCAGGCAGGTCCTAAAATGAATGCATCATCTTTTGCCGCTAGAATGATGGCGAAGATGGGTTACAAGGAGGGTCAAGGTCTGGGGAAGGAAGGCCAAGGTCGAAGTGGAGTTATTGAGGTCCAGCTACGGCCGCAGGGCGTTGGTCTGGGAGCCGTAAAGGAGAAGTCGAAGCAGGAGAAAGAGGAGGAGAAACGACAGGCCATATTGAGGGGCGAAGTGTATGAAGACTCGGACGAGGAGCGTAAGAAGAAGAGAGCCAGGAAACCGAAGGGTATAAGTGGGACAGATAGCGGGACGAGCACACCTCGTCGGATCACCAAACCAAAGTACAGGACGGTGGCTGAGGTAGAGAGAGCTGCTCCAGGTTTGAAGATTCCGGAAGCTTTTGCACCTATCCTGGATATGACGGGACCAGGCCAAAAGTTATTAACCTCGACCTCCGGGCTCTTAACACCTACGGCTGGAGCCGCCCCTGAGACGGTAGAACAGGCGGAATCAAAGAAATTAGCACGGAGGGCGCGGTCCGATCTATCTGCTTTTGTGGAAGAATGGAAGAACTTGCAAGAGCGGAAAGCATATGCGGAAATGCAGATTATCCAAGTAAAGCAGGAGATTGTCGATCAGCAGCCCGATCTCGAGAGGGCAAAGGCCTTCTCTGACGCTGTGAAGGGAATCGCAGAGGCCGTAAAGGATGGTCAATGGGATCCTGTTATCAAAGCTTTGACGGCTGTGGATGGTTTACAATTATCTGGAGATAACGACACACTGTCCAGCATTGCTGTTGCCGCAGTCCACCCATTTCTACGTCAGTTCGCTGAAGGCTGGCAGCCACTGGATAATCCCAAGATGGACGGAATGGCGCCCTCGCTCTTCAAAATCCGACACATCCTCGGAGCTTCGAGCGAGAAGTCTATCAGCACGGAGTTATACGACAGTTCAAGGATTCGAGCCAAATCTACAACTCCATACGAGAGTATGATCTACAAGATTATATTCCCCAAGATTGTCTCTGCGATCAATCAAAACTGGGACGTACACAATCCTACCCCCGTTTTGGAATTGTTAGATGCTTGGGAGGGACTCTTGCCTCCCTTCGTTCGGTCTCAGATTCTTGACCAAGCTGTGGTTGGAAAACTCAACGACGCAGTGTCCTCTTGGAATCCGAGGAAGAGACGCTCGCATGAACTGCCCCATCTATGGCTCTTCCCATGGCTGCAATACCTATCTGCGCACCATGCAGACCCAAAAAGCTCCACCGGACTCGTCAGCGACATCAAACGCAAATTTCGCCAATTGGTCGACTCTTGGGATTTCCACAAAGGTCTTGTACCGGGCCTGCGACAGTGGCGCGAGGTCTTATGCCCGGGTGTTGGTAATGATCACTGGACCCCCCTGATCATGAACCACGTCCTGCCCAGCATGGCACGCTTCCTGAACGACGAGAAGAACTTCCTCGTTGATCCCAACGACCAGTCGCCGTACATGGGCGCGCTCCAAGGCATCTTCGCCTGGCAAGACATTCTCAAGCCCCGCATCATCGGGCAAGTCATGGTCGAGACCGTCTTCCCCAAGTGGCACAACGTCCTCCACCAGTGGCTCACCGTCGTCGGACCCAACGAGGAGATCGGCCAGTGGTTCGAGTGGTGGCGCGACTCGGTGTTCCCGGCGGACATCCAGGCGCTGAAATCGATCCAGGACGAGTTCGACCGCGGACACGAGATGATCAACGCGGCGCTCGATCTCGGCTCCCAAGCAGCGACGCTGCTACCAGCGCCCTCGCGCGCACGAGCCGAGAAGGCCCAATCGCCAGCGCCCGCGCCGGCACCGCCGCCCCGGCCCGTCATCGAGGAGGTGGTCACGATCCGGCACAAGGTGGAGGACTGGTGCGTGGAGAACGACCTGCAGTTCCTGCCGGAGAAGAAGGTTTTGCACTCGGCGGGCCCGCTGTACCGCATCACGGCGGCGGGCCACGGCAAGAACGGCGTGCTGGTGTGCTTCCAGGGCGAGCGGCTGCTGGCGTTGCAGCGGAAGGGCCCTGATCTGGTCGAGATGCCGATTGATTGGGAGGATGCGGATGCGAGGGATGCGCTGCTGGAGATGGCGTGGTATAACGTGAAGTAGTTAGTTAGTTGCGGGGGAGAGCGATTCATAATTGGTGCTGTGTATGGTATATAATGGATACCTTCTCATGACAATGCTCGAATATAAATTAATCACAATGTCCTATATTAGGCTATTCGTGCACTCTTCCCTTCTACATACATAAGGTACAGTCCAGTTGATGTATATTCAATCTATCTATCTAATCCAATCAACCCACCCCCCCCCCCCCCCTCCTTCCCCCTCCCTCCTCGATTCCATTCTTAGCATATCCATCACACATCCCTCTACCATCATAGTCGTAGTCGTAGTGCAGTGCCTTCTGTTTTTATTTTTATTTTATTTTATCCTGCGGACCCAACAGTTCTCCCCCCCAAAAAAAACCCTAATACCCAGTCCCAGTCCTAGAGCTCCAACTATAGAAAAGAGTCCCTCAATCAAACACCTACCTTATCTAAGGTATCTACCTACCCTCTCCCTCCCCACCCCATCCCACCTCACCTCACCCCATTCCCCCCCACCACATAAAAGTCCAAACCCCACAGAAACCCCTCAACAACCTCCATACTGGTGTATCGGTAACATTTCCGCCTCTCATGTGTTTCTCAAAAATCACAGATTGTTCGCGGTAGCGCAGGGTTCGACTCCCTGGTATGGAATTTTTTTAATTTTTTAATTTTTTAATTTTCTTGGTTTGGTTTGTCTGGGGGGGAAGAGAGGGGGG